CCATGTGGATTCCCTTTCTTACCTGTTATTTTGCCTCTCTGTCCAGCACCAGCACCCAAGTACTTTTCCATGTCAACAATTGTGTGTAGAACCTGGTTCCCAAATATTCACTGCAGGCCAGATTTTTAAAGGATGAAAGCACCTGGATGCTTCTGAAAATCCCAGTTGCCTAATTACCTTTAAAAATCTGGCCCAAAGGACACTATAGTATCCGTATCTTGTATGAAATCCTAATCAAAGGCAAATTTCTACTGTATTTTTTTTTTTTTTTTACTAAATATAGGCACACAACCCCGAGATAAATTGATAACCAGGAGTATTCAAAAATCCATACACCTAAGATGGTGCACATTCCTAGAGCATTCAATACCACTTTGGACTTCCAGCAACACGATTTCCCCCTCCCTTTGTAATTGAAAACTTACTAAAAATCCTTAGTTTTAAGAATAATTCCCTATCTTGCAAACACTGAAGTGTCCACTTTACTCTTCTGTTACTTTGCTGTCATGACTGCTATCATGTCCCCTTTCAGTTGTTAGGCAAAAAGATTCTTTTCCCCAAGAATCAGGCAACCACAGACAATACTGAAGGGGGGTTTATTCACAGTGCTGGGAAGACTGACAAGCCACTTCAAAAATATGCTGCCATATTATATTATATTATGGCCAGTTATATACATTCTCTTATCAATTCATTTGCATTTATCTGTACATACGGAGACAGACATTGTTACAAATCAAGAGAAAACCCTGAACAAAGATAAAAATAAGAATGGTACGTACATATAGAGGTCATCCTAATTGCATCAAACATCTATAACTACCTTGTGGGGGAAGGAGGTGGGGTGGGAGTGGGTAGGGATGAGTGCTTACAGACATCCCGTGGGCTGTGAAAGGGCGGTTAGCATTGGTCTAAAAACTGAGTTACTGGGCGGGCATTGACCATATAAGCTGAGCTAAGGTATCAGGTATTGACAGAAACTATGTTCTTGCTTTTCAGCAGTTTCTGTCTTTTCGGCTGGCTGAATTTTAACTCTTTCCAGGCTGCCAGCTGCTGGTGTAGGCGACATGGTCATGGCTACTGTAAAGAAGGGCAAGCCTGAGCTCAGGAAGAAGGTGAACCTGGCAGTGGTAATTTGGCAGCGGAAATCGTATCGGAGAAAAGACGGGGTGTTCCTCTGTTTTGAAGACAACACGGGAGTGATAGTAAATAACAAAGGGGAAATGAAAGGCTCCACAATCACAGGCCCTGTGGCTAAGGAATGCGCAGATCTGTGGCCCAGGATAGCCTCCAATTGCTGGCAGCATCGCATAAACCTGCTCCATCCTCGTTGTAAAGATAAAATAAAAGTGGTTGCACCAAAAAACAAAACGAAACAAACAAACAAAAAAAACCCACAGTCTTCTCTTCTCCAAAGTAAACAAAGTCCATTTTTTTCAGTCTTCCTCGCACGTCACAGTTTTCTAGCCCTCTAACCATTTTTGTTGCTCTCCTCTGGACTTTCTCCAATTTGTCCACATCTTTCCTGAAGTGTGGTGCCCAGAACTGGACACAGTACTCCACTTGAGGCCTTATCAGTGCTGAGTAGAGAGGAAGAATTACTTCTTGTGTCTTACTTATAACACTCCTGCTAATACATCTCTGACACTGAGCGCTCTTGTATTCACACCCTACACACTATTGTAATAATCTTTGTACAAAATAGGCCTTGTGAGATAGCATTTGAAAACAAATAACTCACTGATCATTAATCATCATGCATCATGTATGTATGTGTTGGGTATTAAGAGTTATGGACATATGCTGGAATGAGAACTAAAATGTCTGCAAACAAGGTGTGTCAGGTGGAGTTGATAAACAGGTCTATCCTAAACAAAGGAATGTGTGTTCACCTCAATTTACATATAAGCAATAAAGAGACACATCAAGCTATCAAGAGGGTGGAGGCAAACCTCACACAAACAAGTGGGGGAGAAGACAGCATGGCCTCTGCACCAAGGAGATGGAAGCTTGGTCTGGGTTTTACTCTTCAGAAGAATGCATTTCAAAGGTTTACTAGGCTATAAAGACAGAGGGGCTGAACCTCATGTGATAAACAATTGAATCAACTGATTGTATGCAATATTACTGTGTTATAAGAGAGTCTAGAGTGAGGTCTTTTCTGAAAGCTAGTGACACACTGATTAATATTATTGTGAATTAACACTGTGAAAGGAATCATGGATACTCATTTATATTAGGCTGTGGAGTCTGCCCAGAGAGGAGGGAATGTCACAGCTATCTACCCAAGATCCATAAACCTGGAAATCCTGGGCGCCCCATCATCTCAGACATTGGCACTCTGACAGCAGGATTGTCTGGCTGTGTAGACTCCCTCCTCAAGCCCTACGCTACCAGCACTCCCAGCTATCTTCGAGACACCACTGACTTCCTGAGGAAACTACAATCCATCGGTGACCTTCCAGAAAACACCATCCTGGCCACTATGGATGTAGAAGCCCTCTACACCAACATTCCACACAAAAATGGACTACAAGCCGTCAGGAACACTATCCCCGATAATGTCACGGCAAACATGGTGGCTGAACTTTGTGACTTTGTCCTCACCCATAACTATTTCACATTTGGGGACAATGTATACCTTCAAATCAGCGGCACTGCTAGGGTACCCGCATGGCCGCACAGTATGCCAACATTTTTATGGCTGACTTAGAACAACGCTTCCTCAGCTCTCAGCCCCTAATGCCCCTACTCTACTTGCGCTATATTGATGACATCTTCATCATCTGGACCCGTGGAAAAGAAGCCCTTGAGGAATTCCACCATGATTTCCACAATTTCCATCCCACCATCAACCTCAGCCTGGACCAGTCCACACAAGAGATCCACTTCCTGGACACTACGGTGCTAATAAGTGATGGTCACATAAACACCACCCTATACCGGAAACCTATTTTTTCCCCTTGTTTATTCCCCCCCCCCCCACCACTGTTCCTCAGATGTTCTTGTTAACTGCTGGAAATGGCCCACCTTGATTATCTCTACAAAGGGTTTTCTCCGCCTCCCCCCACTGCCCACTCTCCTGCTGGTAATAGCTCATCTTAAGTGATCACTCTCCTTACAGTGTGCATGATAAACATCTATTTTTTCATGTTCTGTGTGTATATAAATCTCCTCACTGTATTTTCCACTGAATGCATCCGATGAAGTGAGCTGTAGCTCATGAAAGCTTATGCTCAAATAAATTGGTTAGTCTCTAAGGTGCCACAAGTACTCCTTTTCTTTTTGCGAATACAGACTAACACGGCTGCTACTCTGAAACGAGCTATCTACTTGTCTCCTATTTAAATTAAGCATGGTGGAATCGAACAATGGAAGCCCCATTTACATAGAAATCACACAGGAGGATAGCAAAAATAAGGAGTTTTAGCCCACGAAAGCTTATATTCAAATAAATTTGTCAGTCTCTAAGGTGCCACAAGTACTCCTTGTTCTTTTTGCTGATACAGACTAACACGGTTACCACTCTGAAATGGGAGGATGGGAAGCTCACAGGAAGGAAAGAACAGCCTGAGGTCCTCCTGCCCCTTGAAACAAGTTAATTGAACTTTGGGAGATATCTTTAGTATCCATTACTAGACAGATACAAGAGGGCAGAACTCCCAATCCCGTATTGTCCCCAAATCCAGTGCTCTCCAACATCCAGCTCAGAGAAATAATATGGTTCCTCTAAAAACACAAAAACACATCACAGTGTGTCATTAGCTTTCAGAAAAGACCTAACTTAAGCTTCTCCTGCTGGGTGTAGACTCCGTGCTGTCTTCTCCCCCACTTGTTTGTGTGAGGTTTGCCTCTACCCCTTGATAGCTCTATGTGATAGCTATATGTAAATTGAGGTGAACACACATGCCTTTCTTTAGGATAGACCTGTTTATCAACTCCCCCTGCATACCTGGTTTGAAGACATTTTAATTAACATTCCAGCATATGTCCATAACTCTTAATACCCACCACATACATACATGATGCATGATTATTAATGATCAGTGAGCTATTTTTTTCAAATGCTTGTACAAAGATTATTACAATAGTGTGTAGGGTGTGAATACAAGGGTGATTAGTGTCAGAGGAGTGTTAGCAGGAGTGTTATAAGCAAGACACAAGAAGTCATTCTTCCACTCTACTCAGCATTGATAAGGCTTCAGGTGGAGTACTGTGTCCAGTTCTGGGCGCCACACTTCAGGAAAGAAGTGGACAAATTGGACAAAGTCCAGAGGAGAGCAACAAAAATGGTTAGAGGGCTAGAAAACCGTGACCTGTGAGGAAGATTGAAAAAAGTGGGTTTGTTTAGTCTGGAGAAGAGAAGTCTGAGAGGGGACATGATAACATTCATCAAGTAGGGAAAAAGTTGTTATAAAGAGGAAGGAGGTAAATATTTCACTGACTCAAGTCTCCTTTAGCAGCTCAATACATCCTATTGGCTAGGCAATGGGATGCCCTGGGCCTTCAAGAACACAGCCCTGGGAAGCGGGGGCTGAGATGTACCCTTCTGCAAAGGGAGGGAAGAAGCCCCTTTGACCCACAACACCTTATTTTTGCAACCACTCCTGCTGGCTCAGCCTATCTGGGGTGACTTTCATCCCTTCCGCCCCTCCTTATCTCTGGCGTCTCCCCTCTGCCACCATCTGGCAGAGCATCTGCCCCATTCTTAACCCCCCCTGGCTCCTACCCCCGCCGCCATCCCTGATTTTGCCCCTGGGCCCCTCTCCTCCCCCTGCTGCCAGCTGCCTGACCCTCCTGGGCAGTCAGTTCCCTCCCTGCAGAGATTCTGCCCCTTCCTCCCCTCCGATTGCCCCCTCTTAGCCCCTGGGAACAGCAGGGAGACTCAGTGTCATGCCAAGGGCGGGCAGAGTCCCGGCAGCAGCTTCAGCAGCTGGTACTGAGCATCCTCCCTTCCTAGGAGCCTGCCCACGCTCGGGCTCAGTTTATCTTCCTGGGTCAGATCCTCCATTGCGAGCCGGGGGCCGGGCCGAGCCGCTGCTGCTCCCCGGCGGGGTCTGTGCGGAGAGAGACCGGCACTAACCCCCCGCTCCGCCCCGGGCTCGGCCCGCAGCAGCCCCCGAGCCGGAGCCCGCAGGTGATGGGGGGACCCGGGGAAAGGGCCGGGGCCGGGCAGGACAGTGACTCTGCACAAGCGGCCCCGCAGCCCCAGCTCCCGCCGCCCCGGGAAGCTGCTCCCTGGCTGGGAAGCGCCTGGCGGAGGGACCGGAGCTGCGGCCCCAGCGGCGAGTCGCTGCCCGGGCTCTGCCCAGGATCTGCGCCCGGGGCCAGCGCGGGGGTTCGGGCAGGGGGGAGAGCGGCCGGGGGGGGCATGGGCGGGCCCAGGGGGGTTCCCTGTTGTGTCCCTGGGGCTGGGTTGTCAGGGAGGGGAGGGGAGAGAAATGAGACTGAAATGGAGTCGGGGGGGGGGGGATTATTGTAACCCCGTTACAAAACTCAGAGCTCCTCCCTCCCCTGAGACAGGCCCCTTCGTGCCCCAGCGGTGGGTGAATCTCCCCAGCCCTGAACGGCTGCTGGGGCCCTGTTTGCTCCGTCAGAGACACCTGCTCTGAAAGGGGGCAGGATCCTGTTCTCCTGAAGAGCCCCGAGTGTGACCCGCTCACACTGTCTCCTAATGCACGTGTGCCAGGCAGCCTGAATGACCTGCTCTTGGTGTCGTGTGGGGGGGGTTACAGTGAGATCAGTCTGCTCAGATTTTGCTTCTCTTCTATATACCTAGGCTTGGAAGGATGAGATTTTAGGGGGTAAAGACCAGTTTCACCTTACACACACAAACGGATGAGAAAGTACAATAAAGGCTTTATTATCCGGCATGTTGGGGGAATGGGGGGTGCTGGTTAATCAAATATTCCCGTTCACTGGGAGTAATACTTACCCACGGAATACTAATTTTCAAAGAATTAGAATACAATAAAACGAATACCGTATAAAACAGTAGACAGGTACTCACCAATCCAGTCATGGTACTGCACTGCAGAGTGGTTGGTTTCTTGAAGCAGGTAGGTGTATACAGAGAAAGTTTTCTATACAGCAGGTTATCTAATGACACTGCCTATCAGTCTGGGCAGCGCATGGCCTACACCCAGATCACTAAAAATACACAACACTAAAACGATACTGAACAGAATTTAATCTTTCTGGGATGATTCAGAAGGCACTTCAGGATCTTGCAGTGCCTCAAGGTCATCATCATCGACATCAATTCTCATTGTAGACGTAGAAGGTGTAGGAGATTGGGCTGAATCTGTTATGACACACCCTGGAAGCTGCTTTTTTGAATAAATCCCTGATATCCTCTTGCTGACTTGTCTTCTGCCTCTTTGGCATAAAAACAGAATGCAAAATGTGCAATTGCATAACCTCCTGGGCAGTATACTTGACCCGGTTACTAGATTGAAGATTTGTATTGGGAGAGATCAGAAATGCCAGTTAATAGAGCTTGCTGGTTGATAAAAGTGCCGGACAACACAGCTTTTACTGTATTTCCATTAATAATAATCAAAATATACTGCTAGGCAAAGTAAGAAATATGCTGCTTGAGAACTTCTTACAGTGTGATTTAGGGATATATAAGATTTCCTCAGTTTTGGAGGGGAAATATTGCCATGGGTCATTGATTTGATTACAAAAAGAAAATATCGGGTTCTAAAAGCTTCTTGAATCTAGCAGAGCCAGGCAGAAAGAAGAAGAATGGCTGAAAACCAGATGAAATTCAAATTGAAAATTAGGCTGATTGACCATTGGGAAAATCTACCACGAGAAGTGGTAGATTTTCCATCTCTTGAGGTCAGCACTGGGTGGATTTCTGGTAGAGGCGTCTGAGTCAAACACAAGGAACTACTCGGTGCAGGAGTAACTGGATGAATTGCTGTGGCTTGTGTTGTTCAGGAGGTCAGACTAGACTTTCTAAATTCAATGGTCTCTTCCCCTTCTGGCCTTAAAAATCCATGACACCAAATGGAGATTGGGTGGATGGGGAATTAAACTCCCCAGTGATCAACTTTCCCCCTGATATCTGAGAAGCAAATTGTTTCCTACATATTTAAGGAGCCTCCCTCATCTAGGGGACTAGTGTCTCCCAGAGAGTGATGGGAAAATCACCCAGGGCTACATGTACAAAGGGACTTAGGTATTACAATGATCAGCATAGCAGCACCTAAGGTTTAGGTGCCTTGAATCACAGTGGGAACCACAACCTGAGTTTGGCTCCCAGGCTCCCTCTATTATTCCTGGGTAGAGCTAAGCACCTAAAAACGGGATCTACAAAACACAGCATGCTGACTGGGGAGTGCCTGAGCTAGCCAATAGAAAATCATAGAATCGTAGGACTGGAAGGGACCTCGAAAGGTCATCTAGTCCAATCCCCTGCACTCGGGGCAGGACTATGTATTATCTAGACCATCCCTGACAGGTGTTTGTCTAACCTACTCTTAAAAATCTCCAACGATGGAGATTCCACAACCTCCCTGGGTAATTTATTCCAGTGCTTAACCACCCTGACAGGAAGTTTTTCCTAATGTCCAACCTAAACCTCCCTTGCTGCAATTTAAACCCATTGCTTCTTTTCCTAAAATGCTGAAGAGAGGAGCGAGTCAGATGCCCCACCCCCCAAAGGGACTTAGGTGGCTATCTCTGCTTGGTCATTCTCAGCTGAGAACCCTCTCCTGGAATTTGATGCATAAAACTATGGGGTTTTCCAGGGTACGTCTCTCCGAGGGCATGTCTACACTACAAAATTAAATCGACTTAAATTAGGTCGACCTACAGCTACCACAGTAATTAAACCGGCTTTTCACATCCACATTACACTCCTTCTGTCGGTGGTGCTGGAGCACTCCCTGGGCAGTGGGGCTCCGGCTGTCAGCCCCACACAGGCACTCCAGCTGTTAGCCCCGCCCGGCAGGGCTGAGGCTGACGAAGGCAGCAGCAGGTGATGTAAGCAAAGCAGTGTCTGCATGAACACTGCATTAACCTAAATACATTGACCTGAGAGATGCCCCTTTCATGGAGGTGGAGTTATTAACTCCATATACTGGGCGACCTACATCGGTGGGAGCAACATTTCAGTGTAGATGCTCACAGAATTAGGTCAATGTCAGCTCCTCACGTCAATCTAACTCTGTAGTGTAGACCAGGCCTCAGTCTCTCCCGTTAAAGCTGTTCCACCATGTATGAATAAATACATATGCATTGGGCGAGAAAGAGTGAGATTATCTTCAGCCCTCTGGAAGAGCCCTCACCTGGGTTTTAGGAGACCCAGGTTTCAGATACACTCCTCTCATGTCTATTTTGACCTTTCTGTATGGGCTGACCCAGCCTGTCTCCTTTGTGTATCTTTTCCTAGCAACATTTGTTGTCAGTGGTTGTAACTTTGTGTGAACTTTCACTTGCTTTCTGAAAATGGAGCTCCCCATTGGGGTAGGACTGCCAGAACCCCAGTGACTACAACACATCCTGCTGGGGGATGGGAAACCGTTTCAGAGAGGGGAGTTTCAGGGGGCTGCTGGTGGGTTTGTGTTAGAAGGGCTGGAGCAGGAAATACACAGAGTCAGGGAGGTGGTGACAGAGTGGGGCAAACCTGCTGGGACATGTTCAGTCTGTGGCATAATGTTCAGAACAGGCCCTTTGTGGGGATGGAAATTCCTCCATTTCTGGAATGGGAAAGAAACCCCCTGGGCAGGGCTGGGAAAACGGACCAGACTCCCAGTGCTAGAGCCTGAACCCACTAGCCAGACGCTGCTCTGGAATTTGAAGGGGGCACATACCAGTGAGGCCCAGGGGAGAGGCCCCGTCCCCTCACCCCCAGCTGCTGGGAATGGGGAGGGGGTTGGGATTCCTGTCCTTGGACCCTGCTCGAGGGCTCTGCCTCCTGTATCAGCCTCTGGCTAGTAGGTGTGTGATAAATGAGATGACCCTGCCCTCCTCCACCGGCTGAGAGGGACAAGGAACTCTCTCTTTCTCCACTTCTGAAGCTTCCCGGCTGCTCTGAGCAGGTTGGGGGTGGGATTCTGCTACTCTTCCCCGCCCCGAGCTTCCATTTTATCCGCTCTCCTCGACCATGAATAGTGGGATTGTGGCTGGGGCAGCAGGTGCTGAGTGGGGGACTCTTGTTGTTTCAGGGGCCGGTGACCTTCGAGGAGGTGGCTGTGTATTTCACCCAGGGGCAGGGGGCTCTGCTGGACCCCACTCAGAGAGCCCTCTACAGGGACGTCATGCAGGAGAACTACGAGACGGGGACCTCGCTGGGTAAGGGAGGCAGGGAAGGAAAAATTAGAGAGGGGTTAGTAAATGTTCCCTTTCTCAGTCTCCCCAGCAGTTACCATGTTGTGTTTCCCCTCTTTGCTGTTCTCCTTTCGTTCCTTTCTTCCCTGGCACAGGGGATGACTCCTGTCCGGATTCTCTCTCTGTATTCCAAAGGGTATTGGGATGGTGAATGAGAAGGAGAATCCACAGCAGGAAGGTGGTGAGGATGTGGGTCTGCAGGGAATGGTATTGGGAAGATCCGAGGGGAATTTTTATGAGAATCACAAACGAGGAAAAACCAATGGAAATCAGCACAGGTCAGAGAGGCTGCTGGGGTCTGACCCAGGGAAGAAATCGTGTGAACCCATAAATGATGGTGGAGATTGCAAGGACCTCAAGGAAACCACAGCCCAGCAGAGAATGCCCATAAAAGAGAGAAAATACACATGCCCCAAGTGTGGGAAAAGCTTCATTCAGAGGTCACATCTTATTTCCCACCAGAGGATCCACACTGGAGAGAAACCCTACAAGTGCCTTGTCTGTGCAAAAGGTTTCAATCAGACCACAAACCTTATTTCCCACCAGAGGATCCACACGGGAGAGAAACCCTATAAATGCCTTGACTGTGGGAAAGGTTTCAATCAGCGTTCGCATCTTATTAGGCATGAGAGTACCCACAGAGGTGAAAAACCCTATAAATGTATGTACTGTGCGAAAAACTTCATTCAGAGCACAGATCTTATTAGGCATGAGAGAACCCACACGGGTGAGAAATCCTATAAATGTCTGGACTGTGGGAGAAGCTTTGTTCTGAGCTCAGTTCTTATTTCACATGAGAGAACGCACACAGGAGAGAAACCCTATAAATGCCTTAAGTGCGGGAAAAGATTCAGCTGGAGCTCAAATCTGATTTCACATCAAAGAACTCATACAGGAGAGAGACCGTATAAGTGCCTGGACTGTGGGAAAAGGTTTATTAACAACTCAGCCCTTTGTCAACATCAGAGAATCCATACAGGAGAGAGACCCTATAAATGCCTCGACTGTGGGAAAAGTTTCAGTTGGAGATCAACCTATATCCGACATCAGAGAATCCACATGGGAGAGAAACCTTGAATATGGGAGAAGCTTCAGCTGGGGTCTGCTTGTATCAGGCATCAGCAAACCCATACAGAGAATAGACCTCTTAAATATCTTTAACATGGAAGATGCTTCAAGTGGAATTGACATTGGAGACTCCACACAGGAGAGAAATTCTATCAATTCCATCCCTAGGACTGGCCATAGTGTCTTAAAAAATAAATCCAATTGCCTTGAACATATCTTTGACTTCTTTCATGCTAAGTCAGACTTGTGAGGGCTGCTGATGAAAATGTGGACAGGTTCCAGAGGGGTAGCCGTGTTAGTCTGTGTCAGCCAGAATAACGAGGAGTCCTTGTGGCACCTTACAGACTAACAAAAGGACTCCTCGTTGTTTTTGATGAAAATGTTGCGGACTTGGAGGGGAGTTTCAGTGAATCCTCGATACTGTGCGATCGTTCTGAACTTAATTCCAGGATTCCATCTATGGGAAAAGCAACTTGTGGGCTTCTTCCTGCCCAGCTCAGGTTGTTTGCAGATGGGAATTTGAGTTTTCTCCTTTCGTTAGGATGATGTTAAAACTTTTGTAACTAACGTGCTCATATAAGAAGGCTACTTTCTGAGATCTGTCATTTAGCCAGTTCTCAATCCATTTAATGTGTGCTTTATTGATATTGCTATTTTTTTAACCAGAATGTGATGCAGTAAAATGCCTCAAAAAAGTCTTAAGTGTATTCCATCTACCCAGTTATCTTTATCAACCAAATGTTTAATCTCCTCAAAGAATGAAATCAGATTTGTTTGACAAGACCTATTTTCTATAAAGCATATTGCCTGGCATTAATTATGGTCCTATTCTTTAATTAAGTATTAATTATATCCCAAACTACCTTTTCCATTATTTTACCCAGGATTGATATCAGGATAAGTGGCCTATAGTTATCCAGGTCATCCCACTTGCCTTTCTGGAATTCTTCAGGAATGTCCCTGTTATTCCACGATTTTTTAAAAATTAATATCTTTGGGGCAGAGTTCTCCTCAGAAAACTCTTTTAGAGCTGTGAGGTGGTAGTTATCCAGGGCTAGCTGATGGGAAAATGTTATTCCTTAGTAAATGTTGTTGAACATCCTCCTTAGTTACTAATGGACTGAAAAGTATTTCTTCATCTTCATGTGATACAAGCACATCATCCTGTTTCTTTCCAAACACAGAACAGAAATCTTTATTAAACACTTCTGCCATTTTTGCATTCCTATTAACAATTTTACTATCTCCAGATAGTAATGGGCCTATACCATTGTTAGGATTTCTTTTGTTCCTAATATACTTTACCAACTCCTTCTTACTGCCCTCAGCCCTGCCATCCATGGGTTATTCCCTGATGTCTTTAGCTTCCCATATCAATTTTCTACACTTCACAATTTCTAATGCATATCAATTGCTATCTATTTCCTCTTTTTTCCCTTCATTCTGTGTTGCTTTTTCATTTCTAATTGCTGCCTTTACTTCACCATGGAACCAGGATGGGCTTTTAGTCAAAGTTGTCCTCTTTCTCAACTGTAGAATCATATTGGATTTTTGTTTGTTTGTTTATGCTGTTGCCATCTAATAACTCTTCTTACAGAAATCCCCATTTTCAATCACATTTTTTCTGTCCAACTTTTTCTTCCTAGTCAATTTTGCTCATAATTTTCCTTAGCTTTGGGAAATTTCTCCTTTTGAAGCACCAAGCATATACATGTTACTGGTTGGGACTAACCTTTGTTTGCCCATATTGAATGTAATCAGGTCATGATCACTGATCCCTAGGCAATCACCTACTTCCAGTCCAGTGATTATCTATCGTGAGGTCCAAAATAATTACCTCATTTGAGGGGCAATATCTTTTGTTTTAGAAAACTGCCATTTATAATTTTTAGACAATCTCATTATGTTTTACCCCGGCTACATGAAACCTCCAGCATATGTCTCCCAAACTGGAGTAATCCATAATCAACACAATTTTTCTTTCCAGAAATTACAGACAGGTGCTTATGGAGTAACTCCTCTAGTTTGATTCAATGGCCTATCACAGACCCACACTAGGATCTTCTCCTGGGCTTTGTAAGCTAGCACATTGAGCCATGCACCAACATTCTGACCCGTACAGAAAGTATCGGCTCAACAGTTCTCTCATATGTGCTGATTTTTATATTAAAATGTTTTTGGCCCTGCATACCTTGTGGAGTTGGAGTACGAGGAAAGCTAATGGGTGAAAAGATATTGACTGCAGAAATGAGCTGGTTGACGGGACTATTGAGAGCTTCAAGACTGCAGAAAATAAAAGATGAAGTGGTAAGAAAATGTGTAAGGCAAGAAATAATGCTTTTACAGAAGATTAAAGAAAGACAACTTGCAACTGGGTCAAGAATGGACCAGAAATCACACATGGCGCTTGTGACAGTCTGTAACCTAACGTTCACCCCTTTTACAAGACTCGGATACATTTTGTACAAAGTATGCCTTGTGAGGTGGTATTTGAAAACTCATAATTTGCTGAACATTATTGCCCTGGTAAAATATGTGTGGCAACATTTTATGTAAAGTTATAAGATTCTACTGTATGACGTGACTGAGACATGTTCCAAGTTTAGAAAAGCAGGCACAAACCAGTTCCTCAGAGGCATAGGGCAAACTGATGCTTTAGCCAGGTGTCAGTGAAATCAAATGGACTGTCACTTGGCTAAGTGGCCATTCTTTGGTAGGAAAAAGGGTGTGAGTGAGAAATTGATATCTTGGCTAAAAAACAGCTGGAGGTTCCCGTCCCCACAGATTTTTTTCTGTCTCCTGAGCCCCAGCTAGAGTTCATTCTCAAAGAGCAGAAAAATGGATAAGCGTCAGAACAGACACCCCAAGTGATCTCCCCTTTCTGTCCACAGCAGCCACAACACCTGAAGAAAAGACACCACTTTGAAGTGGGGGAGTGGTCCTGGCTGAAAGGATTCCAGCCGGCCAGACTGCTAAAGCATGTGGTGAGAGAGATTTTTTGCTTTACATTCATTTCACTTGTTAAGTTAGGTATTAGTTGTGTTTTACCTTGTATTTCTTTGTAACCAACTCTGACTTTTATGCCTCGTTACTTGTAATCATTTAAAATCTACCTTTCTGGAGTTAATAAACCTTGTTTTATTGTTGTATCTAAACCAGTGTGTTTGGATTGAAGTGTTTGGGAAACGCCACTTGAGATAACATGATTTGTACGTATCATTCTCTATTCAGGAATTAACGGGCTTTATATGAGCTTGTGTTGTCCAGGAGGCAAGTCTGGGACTAGGAATTTGGTGGTGTTACTCTGCAGTGTCATTCAGGAGTAGCCGGTTATAGCACTCCTACAATAAGCTGGAGGCACTGTGCATGCTTGAAGCCGTGTGTCAGCAGACCAGAAGTGGCTGCCGTCAGACTGAAGCAGTGTAAAGGCATCCCAGGCTGGAGAATTGAGGGGACGCAGCTGTTCAACAGTCCAGATTGCTGTGACATTACTCAGGGTACAATGCAAACCGGAGTACCAAGCAATTAGAAATAGAGGAAGACTGAGCCTGCGTTGACTAGACATGGTGAAGAATGTCATAGAATAAAATGGACTAAAGGGGATGGAAGCCATGATCGGATATAAGACAGAAGGTGGTGGGAAGACCAACTGCTGCTGAGCTGGTGGATGGGAAACAAAGAAGGAGAAAAAGACACTGAACCACATGCATTCAAGGTCCTGCAGTTCCGACTTACCAATCACTCTAAATCAAGTAATGCCCACTCCGTCTTTCCGAAACAGGTTGTAAACAGAGATTTTAATGTTGCAATCATAAGGATCCTCCCACCAATTTTCAGTAAAGCCAATTCTATCAAATTTCTCCTCATCAGGGAGAACCTCCAGCTCCTTCCTACCTGTCACCCAGATTCCCAGTGTTTGGTACAAAGCAGCTGATTTCTTTCCCCCTCTTCACATCCTTTGCCACATGGGCTCAATTTGTTTGTGGCACGCTAAGTTGCATTTGTACTGCATGTGCCTTCTTAGCACCCTCCCCTGTCACTGCTAATTTAACATGAGCCTAGCTGCTCCCGCTCGTCTCCAGAGAAGATTAGCCCCCCTCTCTGGGAGATGCAGGCTGTCCCATTCAGACAGCCCTCCTCTCCTACAGGAACATAGCCCAGTATTCAACAAAACCCAAACTCCCAGGTTCAGACCTGTTGCACAGCTAATGATTCACCTCCAGTATTTTCCACCTTTTCTCACTCATGGAACCAGAAGGATCCTTTGCGTAGGATTCTAACACACCATTCTACTGGAGCACCAGCTGATGGTTAAGTGAAGGCCAGCTTACTGTTTCAATGTAGACACTTTGGGTCAGTGACCAAAATTATGGTCATTATAGCTCTGGGTTCTGGAGATACAGCACCCCCCACAGAAACAGCTTTTCGTAGAGCAGAGGGATTCTACCAACGTTTTTTGTGCTGCCCTCGGGGTCAAACCGTGTCCTTCATCCTGATCACAATGGTCACAGTCGTTCGACACTTACCCTACTTAGTGTACGGCAACTGCTCTCCCTTGGGATAAGCAAAACAAAACACAATATTCGCCAGAGACTTTAGCTCTCTTGATAGGTGAGTGTTGGACAGAGTGTCTGTTGCTAGCCAGAAATGATAAACAAGACCTCAAGGGGTTCAAGGCAACAGGTTACAGCCACTGAACCCGAGTAACAGCCAAGCCCTGGACGTTTGAGTCTGGCCCTGGGGAGAAATAGAAGCATGTTGCTAAAATCTGCCTGTCAAAGGGTTCTTTTTTGGGGGAATGGAATCGAAGCTGAGCAGAAATGCACAGGCCCTGAAATAGCTTTAGGAAAGATGGGGATAAAATGGAGAGAGGCCAGAGGAGAGCAGCACAAATGAAAGGTTTAGAAATCCTATGAGGAAAAGTTAAAAAAAAACCGGGCAGGGATATTTGGCTTAGTGTCAAGCTGTCATTCAGCAGCTCGAGCATGAATGCCAACCACGGGGCAGACTGCCGCAGACAGGGCCCAAAGCCCAGCTGAGTTCTATACTTAGATTTCACCAACCAGATATTATGTGTAAACTCTTCAGGCCCCAGTAGCCTAACCATGGAGTCACAGACAGCCTCCTTGGACACTCATCTTTCTTGCCCTCTAGGTGAGCTTCCTTTGGTGATAGATGGTCCCTTATACCCAAAATCACAACAATATTCACGTTACTCCCAGTCCCATAGGACCGGTCACTTACCCCGGGTCAATTTCACCGTAGATCTTACACCAAAGACAACACTTGTAGTCAATCCAGCAAGATTTATTAACTAAGGAAAAGAAATGGGAGTTATTTACAAGGTTAAAGCAATTAAACATATACACGTGAATGAGTTACAATCTTTAGTTCCAAAAAGTAAGAAGAGTTTCTATCATAAGTAACCTTTACAAGTCTTTTAGGGCTATCCCAGGTGGTATAGCTGGGGATCCCATGCTTTTGCGTAGAAACCTTGCCCTTGCAAAGTCCAGCAATGTAAAGACAATTTAGTACTTCTTTTCAGGGGATTTTTTTTATTCCTCTTTCTTTGCGACCCCCCTAACAGTAGAAATTTGCCTGCATAGCCTCACCTCATGTTGCTGGGGGCAGGGCAGGAAGAGCAATTAACAGAGTCTTTTGTTTTATGGTGTCCAATGGGTCATCTGCTGCTGATGTGCCTTCCCGAGACCAGTATTTTACCATAGTTGATGTCCGGTAATTTGCCCGGCACAAGAGAAAATGCCATTCCTTCTGTAGGAAGTGAGGTTTTTACACCAGATGATGTTTCTTTCCTGTTTGCTGACTTACACAATTACAGAGCAGACACTTTAGATCCCCTTATAACAAGATTAATGCCTGCACCAGCATCTTACAAGCAGCTTATAAAATCTAAACACACTCTTATAAATTCTACATCTATTTAAGAATACTAACACACAGGGAAGGCAGCCTGATTCCAGTGGGCTTCTTGCCATGAGGACTGTCAGCAGGTAGGTGGGGGGTGAGTGTGGTCCATGGGCTATGGGTAAATGAAAGTGTAGTGTTGGATCCTCCTCGGCATGAGCGGGAAGGGGCTGTAAAATTTCACAAGTGTAGGTTGTTTCTATTCAGCAGGCTCTGTGTTTGCAGCTCACCTAAAAACAAGATCTGCCGTAGCAAAAAGAAGAGGATAGATTCTGTCCTACCATTGTCATGTGCCCTCGTCTCTCAGTGCTAGCGCGCTCTGCACAAGCCGAGTGGAAGTGCGTGTGCGCACTGGGCGTACGGGGGCATAGCCCAAATGACTGACATTGTTTTGGTGTGTCCCTTAGCTCTGTATTTCAGGCTTTTCAGGGGTTTGCGGAACTCCAAGCTCTGGAATGGCCTGAGATACCACCAGGCAGTCTTCACTTGCAATTAACAAAGTTCATTGGTCAGTGAAATTCCTAGATTCTTTTCTAGTGGAAAGGGAACATGTTCTGGTGGGCGTTAGTGGTCCTTTGGGCAATTGTCATCAGTTCAGGCACTGCTGTAGCTAGCTGAAGGCCAAGGATGCTCTGATTCCTAAGCGGTCCTCCCCCCGCCCCCTCCTGGACACATTGCGCCTCAAAATGGTTGGAGAGTGGAGCTGCTGACAGGGCAGGGAGAGAAATCCCAGATAACGGCCTTTGGCCCAGCACCTTTACAGTTTTAGCCACGCAGGCTACAGTAACTTTAAACTCCTTCTCCACGCCCCACCAAGGGTTCCCTCTAATTTTTCCCATCCACGTGTGCAATGAATTTTGTTATGTGCACCAGTATGGAGGTGATGTGTGACTGGCCCCATCAGTGGTCGTGCTGCTGGTGATTTATAATAATCCATTGTTCAAACAAACTAAAATCTCATGGCAAAGTGTCGGAAAATGGTACAAGTAAAGTAAGAGAGTGTCCTGGCAAATGGTCCTTTGTCTTATGAAGTCTCCAATAAATCTGCACTACATCCTGTAAAACAAAAGTAATATCCTACTATGGGATCAAACAGCCTTCAGCAAATAGAGATTAACTCACAATACAGGACGGGCTGTAAGACACCCCAGGTTCATATAAATGAACATCCCAGAGCATGTTCCAGATGATTCAGAATCAGGAGAACACACTTACCCATTTTCTCCTCTGAACTGTCTACACCTGTCCCATTCGGAGCCTCCTTCTATGGTCATGTTACTTACAAAAATTTTAACGACATCCTAATGAAAGGAGAAAACCCAAACTCCCATCTAAAAACAATCTGAGCTGGGCAGGAAAAAGGCCAGAAGCTGCTTTACCCAAAGATGGAAACTGAGATTTAGGGTCAGAACAATCACACTGTGTTTGGGATTGAGTCAAATTCCCCCTCCAGGTCTGCAATGCTTTCATCTCCAGCCCTCAGGAGTCTGATTTGGTGGGGGTTGAGATCAGTGTTTCCTCTAATTTTTTCCATCCATGCGTGGAATGAATTTTGTTATGTGCACCAAATTACCGAAGTAATGTGCGGCTGTGTGCCACCAATAGAAACAAAAAACCTAGATATAATATATATTTTTAATAAGATACCATAGGGATAATTACTCCAGCCAGGACAGGTTAGGCATTTTAGAACTCACTGCTCAAAGAATTAAACTTAAGCGAAAGAGAGAAATAAAAATTATGAAATGCATAGACCAGTCAAAAAACTCAAATAACAGCACTTTGAAAGAATAAAATTACAGAGAATATATGTGCATTGCAGGAAGTCTCAAGAAGGAACAACAACAAGTATGTGTTGGGAGGTGTGTGAGTGTGAGAGAGACACACAGCATGTGTGTGTGAGAGAGAGACATGCATTGTCCCTTTAAGTATGTGGTCTTGTAGGTAAACCGGCACTCAAAACAGACACAGCAGCAGCCACCAGAAAGCTCCCTCCATCCCACTCCTGAGCCCTGTCGCGTTCCCCCCGCTCCCGCTCTGCAGAGATGGGGTACAGGGGCAGGGGATACCCTGACATCAGCACCCCCCCCTTCCCACCCGCTCTGCATAGCAAGCGGGAGGCTCCTGGGAGCAGTTCCAAGACAGAGGCCAGGAGCAGCGTGGCAGTGGAGGGAGGGGCACCTGAACTGTGCGGCACTTGATAGCTTGCTGGGTGGCTGCTTGGCCGCGCAGCTTACAGGGAACTTAGATTGGGACCACTGTATAACTGAGATGCTCAGGGTTGGTCTAGACTAGAAGTGGTAGAGGTTTGGTCCAGGTCAGGGCTAAACGTGGCAGCTACCAACCCCAACCAGTTTTCCTGCTCTAGACAACCCTCAGAGGCAGAAAGGCCCCTTGGCCCAGCAGCCACGGCTGCAGCAGGGAGGGGCTGATCGTATTCTCTGCCATGTAAAAAGTTGTGAGTTCTGAATGAAACATTTCCCACATTCAAAGCATCTCTGCGTTCACCATGGATCCTTTGCTGTGAAATAAGAACTGAACTCTGAGTGAAACTCTTCCCACAATCCAGCCATTTATAGGACCCATCTCCAGTGTGGGTTCAGTGATGTATATTAAGTGGTGACTTGTCACTCAACTTTTTCCCACAGTCGAGGCATTGATGGCGATTTCTCCTACGTGGATTCTCTGGTGCCTAGTCAGGTTTGAACTCTGAGGGAATTTTTTCCCACAGTCAGGGCATTAATAGGGTATTTCTCCTGAATGGATTTGGTGATGCACAATAAGATGTGAGAAATGAATAAAGCTTTTCCCACAGTCAAGGCATTTATAGGGTCTATCTCCCGTGTGGATTTTCTGATGTCCCATAAGGCATGACTTGTCACTAAACTCTTTCCCACACTCAAGGCATTTATAAGGTGTCTCTCCTGTATGGATCCTCTGATGTCGAATTTGGTTTGACCTATGATTGCAATTTATCCCACAGTCCTGGCATTTATATGGTTTCCCTCCCATATGGATGCTGTACTGTGAAGTAAGATCTGAGCTCTGAAAAATTTTTTTCGCACAGTAAAGGCATTTATAGGGCTTCTCTCCCATAGGGGTTCTCTGATGTGTAATAAGGTATGCTTTGCCATTAAATTTTCGCCCACAATCAATGCACTTATAAGGTCTCTCTCCAGTGTGGGTTCTCTGATGTGTACTAAATTGTGATTTGTCACTAAACATTTTTCCACAGTGGAGGTTTATGAGGTTTTTCCTGCCATGTGGGTGTTCTGGTGTCTAGTCAGGTTTGAACTCTGACTGAAGTTTTTCCCACAGTCGGGGCATTTATAGGGTGTTTTTCCTGTATGGATTCTCAGATGCACACTAAGATTTGAACTTTGAAGGAATCTTTTCCCACATTCCAGGCACTTATAAGGTCTCTCTCCTGTGTGGGTTCTCTGATGTGCAGTCAGATCTGAGCTCCAACTGAAACTTTTCCCACACTCGAGGCACATATAGGGTCTCTCTCCTGTGTGAGTTCTCTGATGTGCAATTAGATATGAGCTCTGATTGAAACTTTTCCCACACTCCAGGCATTTATAGGGTTTGTCTCCAGTGTGGGTTCTCTTGTGTCTAGTAAGGAGTGAGTTCTGATTGAATCTTCTCCCACAGTCAAGGCATTTATAGGGTTTCTCTCCCGTGTGGAGTCTCTGGTGAATAATAAGGGCTGAACTGTCACTAAATGCTTTCCCACAATCCAGGCATTTGTAGGGTTTCTCTCCTGTATGGAGCATCTGATGTCTAACAAGCTGCATGTTCCAATCAAAACTTTCCCCGCAGTCAAGGCACTTATAGACTCTTTCTCCTGTGTGGGTTCTCTGGTGTGAAATAAGATCTGAGCTCTGAATGAAGCTTTTCCCACATTCCAGGCATTTATAGGGTTTCTCACCTGTGTGGGTTCTCTCATGCCTAAGAAGATGTGAACCTTGAATGAAACCTTTCCCACAGTTAAGGCACTTATAGGGTTTCTCTCCCGTGTGAATCCTCTGGTGTGAAATAAGGTGTGCGGTCTGGCTGAAACCTCTCCCACAGACAAGGCACTTGTAGGGTTTCTCTCCAGTGTGGATCCTCTGATGGGAAATAAGATGTGACCTCCGAATAAAGCTTTTCCCACACTCGGTGCATGTGTTTTTTCTCTCTTCTGTGGTGATTCTCTGCTGGGCTGTTGTTTCCTTGAGGTCCTTGCAATCTCCACCATGATTTATGGGTTCACAAATTTTCTTCCCTGGGTCGTATCCCAGCAGCCTCTCTGACCTGCGCTGGTTTCTGCAGGTTTTTCCTCGTTTATGACTCTCATGAAAATTCCCCTTGGATTTTCCCAATACCGTTCCCTGCAGACCCACGTCCTCACCACCTTCCTGCTCTGGATTCTCCTTCTCATTCACCATCCCAACACGCTCTGGAATACAGAGAGAGAATCCAGACAGGAGTCATCCCCCGTGCTGGGGAAGAAAGGAACAAAAGGGGAACAGCAAAAAGGGGAAACACAACATGGTAACTGCTGGGGAGACTGAGAAAGGGAACATTTACTAACCCCTCTCTAATTTTTCCTTCTGTGAAGTGGGTCCCTGGTGCACCATGATCCATTAGAACTGGGATATTCCTCCTCATCCTCCAAGAATGGAGGCTCCTCCTTCTTTTAAACCCTCTCTCTTCCTCTACTTTCACAGTGTACTGCACCAGGTATAACAACGGCACCACAGGGTGAAGCCAGAAACAGAGGTTTTAAAAATAAATTAAAGAAAAAATGGAGTCTTCATGCTTGGAAGAAATAACCTTTTTGTAACAGACAACACGGAGCACCAGGAGAAATTGGATTCTGCCTCCAGATCCCTTCCAAACACCCAGGGGGAAGTAAAATCTTGGGGCAGGGAGGTCCTGCCAGATCTCAGTCAGCGTGGGTGGGTGACATTTGCCCCATAGATGGAGCTATTCCCAGGAAGTGAGGGGAACAGACATGAATGAATACAGACAGGACAACACAATGCTTCTGCCACTCTTTTTAGGCAGGTTTCAGAGTAGGTTACAGTGTTAGTCTGTATTCGCAAAAAGAAAAGGAGTACTTGTGGCACCTCAGAGACTAACCAATGCTCAAATAAATTTGTTAGTCTCTAAGGTGCCACAAGTCCTCCTTTTCTCTTTTTAGGCACTAGCTCTAGCAGAGTTAGTGCATGTACATCTACCTGAGCTGGGAATCCCACCTCCCAGATGCTGTGTAGACGTAACCTAAGGGAATTGGGAAGAACCTGAGCAGAAGCCAAACTGGCCACATCAGAGACTCCCCAGCTTCCAGTAATGCAGGGGACGGGAATCCCTTACCCAGCGAGGTCACCGTCTCGTAGTTCTCCTGCATGACGTCCCTGTAGAGGGCTCTCTGAGCGGGGTCCAGCAGAGCCCCCTGCCCCTGGGTGAAATAAATAGCCACCTCCTTGAAGGTCACCGGCCCCTGAAACAACAAGAGTCCCCCGCTCAGCACCTGCTGCCCCAGCCACAATCCTACCAGTCACGGGGCTGAAGGGTCAATAAAAAGTAAGCTCTTGGTGGGAGGGGGGAGAAAGGGTAGCAGGATCCCACCCTCACCCTGCTCAGAGCAGCCAGGAGGCTTCAGGGAGGGGAGAAAGAGAGAGCTCCTTGTCCCTCCCAGCCAGTGGAGGAGGGCAGGGGCCTTCCCCTTTATCACACACCTACTAGCCAGAGGCTGATAGAAGAGGGGGAGCCCCTCAGCAGGGTCCAGGGACAGGAATCCCAACAACCTCCCCATTCCCAGCAGCTGGGGGTGAGGGGACGGGGCCTCTTTCCTGGGCCTCACTGCGGCGTGCCCCCTTCGTATTCCACATCAGCCTCTGCCTGGTGGGTTCAGACTCCAGCAATGGGAGTCCAGTCCGTTTTCCCAGCCCTGTCCAGGGAGTTTGTTTCCAGTTCCAAGAAATGGGAGAATTTCCACCCCGCTCCCAAGGGGCGTCTTCTGAACATACTCAGGTGACTAGCCCAAGCCGCTATCGAGGCCGTATATTTAGGTGCTAACTCTAGCAGAACTAGTGCGTGTACATCTACCCGGGCTGGGAATCCCACCTCCCAGTGGCTGTGTGGACGTAACCTAAGTCACCGGGGTAGAACCTGAGCAGAAACTAAACTGGGCACACGAGAGCCCCAGGGATGCCACAGACTGAACATGTCAGAGCAGGTTTGTCCCTCCCTGTCACCACCTCCCCGGCCCTGTGTATTTCCTGCTCCAGCCCTTCTAACACAAACCCACCAGCAGCCCCCTGAAGCTCCCCCCTCTGAAGGGGTTTCCTGTCACACAGCAGGATGTGTTGTATTGCTATATTTATGTACAGGATTGGCAGAATTTGATTATTTTTTATCATTTCAATGGTAATATGAATGTTTAGTTTTAAGGATTTATTTTCAATTTTATTGATTTACATTGTGGGAACTTATGGAGTGGGTCAGACAACAATTAACAACTGTAGATATTGAGAATTTAAGCTTTACAAATGTTAAACACACACAGTCATTATCACATGTCAAAATACACCGAGTAAATATCTTTAAATCAAACTGTAAGAAATTCCTGAGCAGCATTTTATTCCTTTCCCTATCTGTACATTTCGATTATTTCTGATGGAAATATTTTTTCACCCACCTTTTCTGTGTATAGGGAGAAACTGACATTTACGACAAAAATCTCATCTTTCCAAGCCTATGTATGTAGAAGAGAAGCAAAATCTGAGCAGACTGATCTCACTGTAACCCCCCCACACGACACCAAGAGCAGGTCATTCAGGCTGCCTGGCACACGTGCATTAGGAGACAGTGTGAGCGGGTCACACTCGGGGCTCTTCAGGAGAACAGGATCCTGCCCCCTTTCAGAGCAGGTGTCTCTGACGGAGCAAACAGGGCCCCAGCAGCCGTTCAGGGCTGGGGAGATTCACCCACCGCTGGGGCACGAAGGGGCCTGTCTCAGGGGAGGGAGGAGCTCTGAGTTTTGTAACGGGGTTACAATAATCCCCCCCCCCCCCCGACTCCATTTCAGTCTCATTTCTCTCCCCTCCCCTCCCCGACAACCCAGCCCCAGGGACACAACAGGGAACCCCCCTGGGGCCCGCCCATGCCCCCCCCCCGGCCGCTCTCCCCCCTGCCCGAACCCCCGCGCTGGCCCCGGGCGCAGATCCTGGGCAGAGCCCGGGCAGCGACTCGCCGCTGGGGCCGCAGCTCCGGTCCCTCCGCCAGGCGCTTCCCAGCCAGGGAGCAGCTTCCCGGGGCGGCGGGAGCTGGGGCTGCGGGGCCGCTTGTGCGGAGTCACTGTCCTGCCCGGCCCCGGCCCTTTCCCCGGGTCCCCCCATCACCTGCGGGCTCCGGCTCGGGGGCTGGTGCGGGCCGAGCCCGGGGCGGAGCGGGGGGTTAGTGCCGGTCTCTCCCCGCACAGACCCCGCCGGGGAGCAGCAGCGGCTCGGCCCGGCCCCCGGCTCGCAATGGAGGATCTGACCCAGGAAGATAAACAGAGGCAGAGCGAGCGCAGCCCGCCCCCTCCCAGCACGAACCAGGGCCCTGTGGGGGCAGCAGCTAAGGACCCCCCCGCCCCGGCCCACACCCCGCTCAGCCCGGGGCGCCCCGGCCCGAAATTCCTCCTCTCTGCCCTGTAGAGACCGGCCCGGCCAATCCCACCCACCGCCCGGGTCACTGAGAAACGCGCCCGGGCAGGCTCCCTGGGAGGCCAGGACCCGCCACCCCGCGGATTTGGGGACCCTCGGCAGCAATCCCCGGTCCCCATAGAAATCCCCCTTCTCCCCTTCGCAGGGATCCTGCGGGCTCCTGCTTTCCACCCCCCACTGACAGGCTTCAGTGCAAGAACCGCCCCGAGTGCTGGGGCAGGGGGCTGCCTGGCAATGGGTTTGTCCAGGACCCAGAAAGGGAGCTGGGGACGGAAGGGAATTGCACCCCCTACAGGAAATGATTACACAGTATAATGTTCAAAACAGTGTTCTAGGGGAAGCAGAAAAATACAGTAGCAACAGTATTCAACTGGAAGAGCACCCAGAGTCCAATTTGTGTACAAAAATGAGGTTACTCCACGTAAACACATGATCCTGATGTAGACAGTTTCTCTTTACTTTAAAAAAGGAAAGGGGGGGGCACCTAGGAGACTAACCAATTTATTTGAGCCGAGCTGTAGCTCACGAAAGCTCATGCTCAAATAAATTGGTTATCCCAAGGTCCACTCCTTTCTTTGCAGTACAGACTAACACGGCTGTTCCTCTGAAACCTCTCTTTACTTTGTTGCTGGGTGAATTCCAGGTTCCCTGCACTGTTCCTATCCAGCCACCTGGCTACTGGGCAATAGGGACACCTGCTTATCAGAGGTTTACACAGGGTTCATATCATATTTCAGGTTCCCCAAAAGAGGACGCTGCTGGAAGGGGGGAGGCTGGAAGTGAAGGGAGGGTGCAGCAGGGGAAGGGTGTGTGTGTGTGTGGGGGGGGGGGGGATATTTGGCAGGGAGGCTGCAGCTATAGCATTTCAAGTGTAGCCAAGCCCCAAGTGAAGTGCTTTGTACTGTGTCAGACCTGAGCCCTGCATGCTTCTGGGCAGAGAGACCCAGAGCATTCCAACTAAAATCCCATGTTTTCTCCCCACTGCTTCTCTCCCTTTCTTCAGGCCAAAGACAAAGGCTGCAGTGGATTATATCAGCCTAAAATAAAAAAAACACTCCTTAAGGTTTGTTTACGCTAGGATTTTAGTTGGAGACGGGGGGGGGGGGGGTTCTAGGCATTGCATTTCAAGGCCCATAAATACCCTCGAAAAAGCAATGACTCTGCGAAAGGTTTAAGGGTCATGATGGACAAGCGACTCAGCATGAGCTCCCAGCGCGATGCTGGGGCAACAAGGGCTAATGTGACCCTTGGATGTACAAACACAGGAGTGGGGAGGTCATTTTACCGCGGTCTATGGCACTGGGGAGAGCAATACTGAGATAGCAAATACAGTTCTGGTAGCTTCACGTTAAAAAGGATGTTGAAAAATTGGAAATAGTGCAGAAAAGAAATGCACACCTGAAGTCTGGCCAAAATGCACGCCAGCTTATGCTGCTCGCGGAGGTGGATTTATTATGCCAACAGGAGAGCTGTCTCCTGTCCGTGGTGATGGGATTCGGCCTGACTTCAGGGCTGAACGGGTCTGTGGAAGAGTTCCCTGCCTGGCTTCCTTCTTGGCCATGATCTGCTCCTCTGTTTGCACAGTGCCGAGCACAAGGAAAACCCTTTCTTAGTGGGCCCTTAAGCTGTAATGAACACGATTCATAATAATAGTCAGCCTGGTCCTTTCAGCCTGATCCTTCTGTAGCTCTTTACTATTCATAAGAACATAAGAGCAGCCATACTGGGAAAGACCAAAGGTCCATCTAGCCCAGTAGCCTGTCTTCCCACAGTGGCCAATGCCAGGTGCCCCAGAGGGAATGAACAGAATAGGTAATCATCAAGTGATCCATCCCCTGTCGCCCATTCCCAGCTTCTGGCAAACAGAGGGTAGGGCCACCATCCCTGCCCATCCTGGCTAATAGCCATTGATGGACCTGTCCTCTGTGAATTTATCTAGTTCTTTTTTGAACCCTGTTATAGTCTTAGCCTTCACAACGTCCTCTGGCAGAGAGTTCCACAGGTTGACTGTGCGTTGTGGAACTCAGGGATGGCTTCACTCAACACTCGCAGGTTAGTTCCTGTCTCTTTCAGGCCCCAGTGCAGCAAGTTAACAGTTCTCAGCTGTCTGGCTCTCAAGAGAAAACCCTGCAGTTTCCCAGGTCTGCATCTTCCACTTCCTACACTCTTCCGCCTCCTGACCGGATCTCACCTCATTGCAGGGATCAGGCAGTAACCTCCGTCTCCATTTCAGCCTCTCCCTCTCAGACTGCGACTCTCACACTCGCCCATTGGTGTTTGTTTATTGTGGTTATTTAGAAAGAGAATTGTTCAAACACCACAAATATCTCATGGCAGTGGGTGGGGGAAAAGCCAAATAAAATAAAAATGGCCTCTTCTGACAAAGGGTCATTTGTCTTGTGAAGTCCCCGATAAATCGGCTTTTCATCACGTAAAACTAAATTAATATCCAAAGACGTGAACTATTACATTTCCATTGAAGGGCTCAGTGTGCGGATGCTGGGTGGGGTTGGTGTCCTGTGATATATAGGAGGTCAGCTTAGATGTTCTAGTGGTCCCTTCTGGCCTTACATTCTATGATTCTATGTGACCAAAAGGCCTTCAGCAAAGAGGGAACAACCCACAATACAGACCGGGCTGTATGATACAGTTAGTTTTGTGGAAAGTGACGTCCCAGAGCATGTTCCTTCTGACTCAAACTCAGGAGAACAGATTTACACTTGGTCTCCTCTGAACTGTCTAAATCTTTGGAGTCTTCTTATAGGATCATGTTATTTTCAGAAGTTTTAACATCATCCTAATGAAAGGGGAAAAACCAAACACTTGTCTACAAACTATCTGAGCTGGACAGGAAAAAGGCCAGAAGCAGCTTTATCAATAGATGGAACCAGAGATTTAAGCTCAGAAGGATCACACTGTGTTTGGGATTTATTCAAATTCCCCTCCAAGTCTGCGACACTTTCATCTCCAGCTCTCATGACTCTGATTTTCTGGGGTTGGGGACCACTGTATAACTGAGATGCTCAGGGTTGATCTAGACTAGAAGTGGTGGAGGCTTGGTCAAGGTCAGGAGGAAATGTGCCAGCTACCAACCCCAACCAGTTTTCCTTCTCTAGTCAACCCTCAGAGGCAGAAAGGCCACTCAGCTGAGCAGCCAGGGCTGCAGCAGGGAAGAAGGGCTGTGATGTGTAAAAAGTTGTGAGCTCTGAATGAAACATTTCCCACATTCAAAGCATCTCTGCATTCGCCGTGGATCCTTGCTGTGAAATAAGAACTGAACTCTGAGTGAAACTCTTCCCACAATCCAGCCATTTATAGGAGCGATTTCCAGTGTGGGTTCTCTGATATGTATGAAGTAGTGACTTGCCACTCACCTTTTTCCCTCAGTCGAGGCATTTATGGCGATTTCTCCCATGTGGATTCTCTGGTGTCTAGTCAGGTTTGAATGCCGATTGAAGTTTTTCCCGCAGTCGGGGCATTTATAGGGTGTTTCTCCTGAATGGATTCAGTGATGCACAATAAGATTTGAGCTCTCAATGAAACTTTTCCCACAGTCAAAGCATTTATATGGTTTCTCTCCTGTGTGAGTTCTGTGGTGTGCAAGAAGGTGTGAGTTGTCACTAAAACTTTTCTCACACTCAAGGCATTTATAGGGTTTATCCCCCATGTGGATTCTCTGATGTCCCATAAGTTGTGACTTTTCAATACATTCTTTTCCACACTCAGAGCATTTATAAGGTGTTTCTCCTGTATGGATTATCCGATGTCGAATTAGGTTTGACCTACGATTGAAATTCCCACAGTCCTGGCATTTATATGGTTTCTCTCCCATGTGGATTCTGTGATGTGAAATAAGATCTGAGCTCTGAAAAAAAGTTTTCCCACAGCAAAGGCATTTATAGGACTTCTCTCTTGTATGGGCAGTAAGGTGTACTTTACTATTAAAATTTCTACCACGGTCAGGGCATTTCAAGGGTCTCTTTCCAGTATGGTTTCTCCGACATGTATTAAACTGTGCTTTATCACTAAACATTTTCCCCCAGTCGAGGCATTTATGAGGTTTTTCTCCCACGTGGATTCTCTGCTGTCTAGTCAGGTTTGAACTATGATTGAAGTTTTTCCCGCAGTTGGGGCATTTATAAGGTGTTTCTCCTGTATGGATTCGCTGATGCACAATAAGATTTGAGCTCTGAAAAAAAGCTTTCCTACAGTAAAGGCATTTATAGAGCTTTCCCCTTGTATGGATTCTCTGATGTGTATTAAAGTGTGCTTTGCCATTAAACTTTTTCCCAGAGTCAATGCATTTATAAGGTCTGTCTCCTGTGTGAATTCTTTGCTGTCCAATAAGGTGTGAGTTGTCACTAAATCTTTTTCCACACTCAAAGCATTTATAGGGTGTCTCACTCGTGTGGGTTTTCTGGTGTCTAAATAGCTGCGATCTCAAACTGAAGCTTTTCCCACACTTTGTGCTTGTGTTTTTTCTCTCTTGTGTGTGGATTCTCTGCTGGTCTGTGGTTTCCTTGGGGTCTGTGCATCCTTCTCCACAATTAATGGATTTAATCGCTTCCTTCCAAAGCTGATTTCTCTCAGACATGCTGCCCTGACTCTCACAGGATCTTCCCTGGTCAACACTGCAGGAAACGTTACATTCATATCTTCCTGATACTATCCCGTAGAGTTCCATTTATTCAGGACTTTCCTGCTGGGAATTCTCCTCTTCATTCTCACTCATCTTCCTTTCACCTGCTGGGATAGAGAGAGAATCCAGACAGGGGTCATTCCCCAAGCCAGGATGAAAGGGGAACAGCAAAGAGGAGAAAGATGACACAGTAACTGTTAGGGAGATTGAGAAAGGTGAAATAGACTTACCCATTGTCACAGTTTCAGGGCCGCTGAAATTGTACTCCCCCTCTGCAGTCCACCAAGGTCACACACTTTTAGGCTTCAGGCTCCCAACCGTCAGCTCCCGTGGGTGCAGAATGATGCGAGACCTGGGGGTTCAAAGGATCACATTGAGCAATGTGCCAGACAAGAATGGACTTTGGGGGGGGGGAAAGTGTTACGTGGTTTTCCTGGGGGATACATAGTGGGGGTGAATGCAAATTCCCCACCTCCAGTCATGAAGCTATGGCCTGAGAAGGGGACCATGGTCTGCCAATTAAAGGCCCAACCTGTATAAAGGAAAGATTGAATGATTTGTAGATTCCAAAGCCAGAAGGGACCACTGTGATCATCTAGTCTGACTTCCCGTATTGCACAGGCCACGGAACTGCCCCCAAATAATTCCTAGAACAGATCTTTTAGAAAAACAGCTAATCTGGATTTAAAAATTATCAGTGAAGGAGAATCCACGACACTTGGTAAATTATTCCAGTGGTTAATTATTCTCGCTGCTAAATATTTACACCTTATTTCCAATCTGAATGCCTCTAGCGTCAACTTCCAGGCATTGGATCATGTTAGACCTGTCTCTGCCTGATTGAAAAGCCCAATATTAAATATTTGTTCCCCAGGCAGATACTTATAGACTAATAGACTTTCAAGTACATAAAAGGTTGTTACAAGGAGGAGGGAGAAAAATTGTTCTTAACCTCTGAGGCTAGGACAAGAAGCAATGGGCTTAAATTGCAGCAAGGCCGGTTTAGGTTGGACATTAGGAAAAACTTCCTGTCAGGGTGGTTAAGCACTGGAATAAATTCCCAGGGAGGTTGTGGAATCTCCATCATTGGAGATTTTAAAGAACAGGTTAGACAAATACCTGTCAGGGATGGTCTAGATAATACTTAGTCCTGCCATGAGTGCAGGGGACTAGACTAGATGACCTCTTGAGGTCCCTTCCAGTCCTATGATTCTATGATAATCAAGTCATCCTTTAAACTCTTTGTTAAGATAAATAGATTAAGTTCCTTGAGTCTATCACTAGCAGAGAACCGGGACTGAGAGCAGCGTGCCAGGCGGGAAAACCTTCATCAACGCCCCCCCTGTGCCCAGCCTGGGCGGGGACTCTCTCCGGTGGCTGGAACCAGCCCCTGGGGCAGCCCCAGGCTCTGCCCACACCAGCCCCTGAGCTGGAGCCTGGGAGAGACCTGTGGGAAAGGGCTGGGGATCGGCAAAGTGAATCTGCCCTGAGGGCTGCCGCACCCCCTCGCTTGAAATGGTTTCCATCATATGCAGGGTTTGGTTCAATGGCTCTCAGCCCCCCCCCCCCCACTATACAAATTGTTCCAGCTCCCCTGGACTCTGCACAAATGATTCCCTGGATCCTCAGATCTTGCAGCTCCTGGGAATCTGCTCCCAGGGATCTGAGCTGTGTTAAGGGGGGGCGGGCATAATTTCAGAAAAATTCGGGTAGAGGCTGAGGATAAACTATTATCTAGTATATGAAATCCTGCAAACTCCAGGTGTGTGTGTGTGTGGGTGGGGAGGAGTGGAAAACATCATGAAGCATACAATGCTATGAAAAGTCTAGGGTGCGGGGGGCTACCCCATAGCAAATGACACCCGAGATGCCAATGAGTTGCTACTATCTCTTCCCAGGATCTGTTCTAGGGTCCAGACCGGAGAGATTGCACACCAAACCCAACCAGCCAAATTAGACCAGAGTGTTACAGCTCTCAGGAGACTAAACTGTGGCAATCCATGGGCAGAGAACCGGTGCCACTGAGCCAGCAGTATCTGCCATGGCAGGGATTTGATTGAGATATACCCAGTGGATCCCTGCAGGTGACCCACTCCCCATGCTGCACAGGAATTAGACAGACAGACAGACAGACAGAGAAAGAAAGAAAGAAAGAAAGAGTCCCTGCCAATCTGATCTGGGGGAAAATTCCTTCCTGACCCCAAATACAGTAATCAGTTAGACCCTGAGCATGTGAGCAAGACCCACCAGCCAGACACCTGGGAAAAAGAATTCCCAGTACCACCTCTGAGCATTGCCCCATCCTACCAATGTCCCCACCCTCTGATCCTTTAGAGGAAGGAGAAAGTGTCGGGGGAGGAAGAATACATGGGGATGGGGGGATGGGTGGCAGGAGGTTAGTGCCCCCTGACCCCGCCCCTTCTGCCTGAATCCCAGAAACATCAGAGATGTCAGGCCTCAAAGGACTGAATGAGGCAGGGTCCTCTGTGAACATACAGTGCAGTGTGTGACCCCGTCATTAGAGGTTAATGTTCCTAAGGCCCAGACACGTGATGGCAGAAGTAACAGTGCCCGGGCTCCCCTGGATCCTAGGACCGCTACCACCCGTGTCTTTCAGACAGTGAATTCATCACCCACACACTGCACTTCCCCGCTGTACAGTTTATTGTTCACAGGTACACCGTGACGGAGGCGATTTGTACGGTGTGGTGTCTGAAAACGGAAGGCAATATCTGGTTCTTATATTTAACCCCCCAGCACATCTTTGTAGGAACTTGCAGGTATTCTAGTAAATCAGTAATGTGAAAAGTTTGTTTCCCTGCTGGTTGCGCTTCCCGGTCTCCACTTTGAATTCCATGGGTCGGGGGGTGTAGGTATGTGTGGGGTGAGGATTAAGACGCTGGTGTACATTTTGTCATTAGTGGGTACATGCTGCTTCCCGCAGCTTGTAATAAACAGCGCGTTGGGTCATATACCAGAAACCCCTCTCTCCCCATTCGTACATTCGTCCCCACCAGATGTGGAGCCAAAAACCTACCAGGCTCTGAGGATACGTCTGACCCCCTCTGTTTCTGCTGCCACTTCCGCAGCTGGCTGCTCCTCCCGGGGGTCATCAGACAGCTCCTGCCAGTGTGGACCCAGGACGTGCTGCAGCTTCTCCAGCAACGAAACCATCTCAAGACCTGGCGTGAGCCAGGAAGGCCGGAATAGGGGAGGCCCCATCACTTTTTACCAGTCTTAAGGGCTAACGACGGGGAGGGGGGAGCGGGGAGAGTAAGGGGCATGGGCCCGGGGAAGAGGCGTCGTGACGGTGGGGCCTCGGGGAAGAGGTGGAGTGGGGGTGGAGCCTCAGGGAAGGGGCGGAGTGGGTGGCGGGGCCCCGGTTCGTGCGCCGGTGGCTCCCCCACTTCTAGGGAGCTTCTGGCAGTCCTGGTGCGAGCATGGGAGTGGCCGCACTAACCTCCTCCGGCGGCTGCTGGCTCCCCACCGATGTTATCCTAAATTCGGAGGTAAGAAGGTGGCCATCCCGGCTGAACAGGCTGGGGGGGCTCAGGGCTCAGTGCCGTGCCTGGAAAAAGCAGCAGGGGGATGGAGAATTCCCAAAGGTGCGGTTCTCATCCCTGGCTTTCCAGGATTGGCTCTGGAGCTGTTTATCCTGCTCCCTGCGGGGCCGGCCTGAGGGAAAATGGTGCCCTGGGCAAACTTGTAATTTGGTGCCCTGGCTCCCGCGGGCACCAGACCCCGGTGGGTTTCCCCCCTCCGATCTTCCTTGGCACCCACAGCTCCCCCCCGTTCACCCCCACTGTCACAGGCCCCCCCAGGTCCCCACCCCACCCCTCCGTGAACTCCAGGCCCCGCTGCCTCCCCCGCCGTGCCTAGTTTGTATCGAAAGAGGTGCCGGGGCTCACCCCCAGCCCAAATTAAGCACTGGCTGGGTGGCCAGTGCTGGTCGGGCGCCCAGCTCTGAAGGCCACACTGCCGCCAGCAACAGTGCCATAGGCACCGACTCTGGACAGCCACCTCCCTCCCTCCCCCCAGCGCCTCCCGCCCGCCGGCGGCCCCGCCGATCAACTCCTCCCCCTCCCTCCCAGGGCCTCCCGCAATCAGCTGTTCCGTGGCGGGCAGCAGGCCCTGGGGGGAGGGGGAGGAGCGGGGACGGGGCACGCTCGGGGGGGGGGGGGGGACTGGGTGGACAGAGGCGTGGTGAGGGCTTGGGGAAACTGGGTGGGTGGGGGTGGGGCCTGGGGCAGACCGGGGGAGGGGTTGAGCACCCCTGGGGCCCGGAGGAAGCGGGCACCTGGGAGCAGCCCAGAAGTAAACGTGGCATGGTGTATAGCCACCCTTACTTCTGCCCTGCTGCTGTGGCTTCTTGTGCCTAGTGCCCAACCTGCAGCTCAAGGCGGGTTCTGTGCTGGCATACGGGGGCTGCATGTTGCTGGAGCCCATGGCCATCTTGCAGCTCTCTGGCCACGCCTGGCTCCCCCCGGGGTGCCGTTTCAGACTTTGGTGGGGGGTGCAACTTTAACCAGAAAACTAGATTTTTTGCAGATAATAACTTAGGCATTAGCTGACAGGAGCACTGTATCTAAGTCCTAGATAAAGAAAGAAAATAAAATGTATACAGACACCACTTAAAGCCACATTTTAAGTTTATATGGAAGTTTAGAAAAACCAGGAGACAATACAGCAAGATATTCCCAATCCCAAACCTTGAGGGATCAGTTCTGGAGCTTTAACACAGGGATCAGAAACACATGTGTGATACTTTGCAGACTATCTTTAGGAGAGAGAAATAAAAATAAATGAAATCTGCTTAAAATCTGCTTACTTTCTCTAACAGACACACTGTGTTACGGCCATTATCTACTCTATTTTAGTCAATTGTTATATACTCCACTAAACACTTATTTACTTAATTTTAACATATGCGAGTAAGGTTTTTATTTCTCCTTTATTAAGAACAGGAATTTATTTTTCTAATTATTTTGGCGTTTATGTTTACCAATCACAATCACGTACGTGACTCACGAACATTTGACCCCATCATGGCTATTCGGTATCAGACTTGGAACCGCATTTATTGTCCTACTAATTCGAAGTTATTTTACGGGTATAACTAAAAATACCATTTGAAAATAAGTGACCTGCATCTGCACAGTGTCTACAGTTATGTGTGTAGCTAATTTTTTTTGAACTGGCATTGCTAAGGTGACTACAAGTTAAATTTACATTCGAGGAGGATACTATTATTTGATTGGACCACTTTAAATAATGACGGACAACGCACACTACGGTAATAAAAGTAATAACAATAATTACTCCAGCCAGGACAAGTTAGGCATTTTAGAACTCACTACTCAAAGAATTAAATGTAAGCATAAGAGAGAAATAAAATGATGAAATGCGCAGACCAGTTGAAAAACTAAAATAACAGCACTGTGACCCTTAACGAACTTGGAAAGACTAAAATGACAAAGAATATATGTGCCTTGAAGTACCAACCATAACAACACTAATATGCGTGTTTGTGTGTGTGTGCGAGAGTGTTGGGGGAGTGAGAGAGAGCGTGTGTGCTGGGGGAGTGTCTGAGAGACTGTGTCTGTGAGACAGTGTGTGAGTGTGTATTGGGGAAGTGTGAGTGTGCCGGAGTGAGTGTGTCAACGCTCGGTCTGTTTAAGCAGAGCATGCACCCAGGGTCACTAGCAGATACATGCTCCCCCGTGACCCCAGCTCAGCAGAGCCTGGGTACGCAGGTGTGGGGAGGGGGACCCCCTGAGATCAGAGCCCCCAAGCCCCACCCCCACTCAGACAGGAGGCAGGCTCCAGATCCCGAGCTTGGCTGGGGTGGCTCCATGGGGGTGGGAGTGGGGGTGGCAGGAGCAGTGGTGGCTGCAGACCTAGTGGAGCAGGGCAGAGGGGGAGATGGGGCAGCCCCGCGTCGGAGGAGTTACCAGGCTGGGGCCAAATGCCCCCCGCTGCAGCTCCGTCTGTCTGCCCTCTCCTTGCGCAGCTGCGCCTACCTGGCTGCCTCTAAGCCCGCTTGCTGCCGGCAGGTCAGGTGGGTGGGACCAGCACGGCGCCCCCCTTAAGCACAGTGCCCAGCCCGCCCACCCACCCCTAAAGCGGGCCCTGGCTCCCTGCGCTGGTCATGGGTCTGTTTAATCCCCAACTCTGCCAGGTTGCCCATTATTTTCTGGTACACTGGGTCATTTCCGGTGTTCTGACTGACGTCAAATGTCTGGCTCGCCTCACACCGCAGATTGATCAGAATCTGAGGTGATCCCATGACCAGCGTACTGGGCTAAGGCCTTCTTCTTACCGGTGGCCATAGCTAACGCAGAAGACGGATCTCTCTGTTTGCAGCTCAGGGGTCAGAACACAATAGCAGGGTCAAACGCCAAGAGGCCCATGGGATTGTGGGATAGCAATAGTGGACTCTCAGAACACGAGTCTGAAGACCTGAGCCGCAGTTAAGTCCTCACTGCAAAATGATGCAGTGTGAACCATGAGTTCCAACTGGACTTGGGCTCAGAGCCACCCACCCCACTTTTTGGGTCCTAGGGCATGGGTCTCAAGGGCTTACTGGCCTGAGTCAGGCAAATTTGTGTATAGATGGAAGCGGGGGGCGGGGGGGTTGGGAGAGGATGTGCTTTTATGTTCGATTTTGTAAGCAAGTTGTTTTTAAGTGAGGTGAAACTTGGGGTATGCAAGACAAATCAGGCTCCTGAAAGGGGTATAGTTGTCTGAAAAGGTTAAGAACCACTGATTTATAGGGTCTCTCTCCTGCATGGACTAGCTGATGTATACAAAGCTGTGAATGAAACATTTCCCACATTCGGAGTATGTATACAGTCGCTCTGCCATGTGGATCCTTTAATGTGAAATATGAACTGAACTCTGACAGAAACTTTTCCCATAGTCCAGGGATTCATAAGGGCTTTCTCCAACATGGGTTCTCCAGTGTGTGGTAAGATGTGACTTGTTACTAAACCTTGCTCACAAGGGGAGGCTTTTATGTTTTTTTCCCTCTCTTGTGGATTCTCTGATGCACAATAAGATCTGAACTCTGAATGAAACTTTTTCCACACTCCAGGCACGTATGGGGTTTTTCGCCTGTGTGGATTCTCTGATGTCTAGTAAGGTTGGAACTCCGAGTGAAGTTTTTCCCACAGTCGAGGCATTTATAGGGTGTTTCTCCTGTATGGCTTCTCTGATGCACGATTAGATCTGAGCTCTGAATGAAACTTTTCCCACAGTCCAGGCATTTATGGGTTTTTTCCCCCCTGTGGGTTCTCTGATGTCTAGTAAGCGTTGAACTTCGAGTGAAGTTTTTCCCACAGTCGGGGCATTTATAGGGTGTTTCTCCTGTATGAACTCTCTGATGCACAATTAGATCTGAGCTCTGAATGAAACTGTTCCCACAGTCCTTGCATACGTAGGGTTTCGCTTCTGAATGGCTTCTGTGATGTGTAGTAAGTTGTGACTTATCACTAACTTTTTCCCCAGAGTTGAGGCTGGTATGCACTTTTTCTCCTATATGGATTCTCTGGTGTCTCATAAGGTTTGCACTTCGATTGAAGCCTTTCCCGCAGTCAGGGCATTTATAGGGCGTTTCTCCTGTATGGATTCGCTGGTGCACGAGAAGATTGTAACTTTGAAGGAATTTTTTCCCACAGTCAAGGCATTTATAGGGACTCTCACTCATGTGTGCGCTTTGATGTGTAATAAGTTGTTAGTTGTCATTATAGCTTTTCCCACTATCAAGGTATTTATAGGGTTTATCTCCTATGTGGGTTCTCTGATGTCCCATAAGGCATTACTTATCACTAAATTCGTTTCCACACTCAGTGCATTTATAGTGAGTCTCTCCTGTATTGGACTCTCTGATATCAAACTAGGTTTGACCTCCGATTGAAATTTTTCCCACAAGCCTATATGGTTTATCTCCTGTGTGGATTCGGTGATGTGAAATAAGATGTGAGCTCTGAAAAAAAGTGTCTCACAGTAAAGTCATTTGTAGGGCTTCTCTCCTGTGTGTGGGTTCTCTGATGCATAATAAGGTTTGCTTCTGCCACTAAACTAACTCCCAGAGTCAATGCGTTTATAGGGTCTCTCCTGTGTGAATTCTTTGATGTCCCATAAGGTGCGAGTTGTCACTAAATCTTTTTCCATACTGAACTGAAGCTTTTGCTGCGTGTTGTGCGTGTTTTTTTTCTCTTTTGTGTGGATTCTCTGCTGGGCTGTGGTTTCCTTGAGATCGTTGCACCTCTTCTCACAAATAAGGGATTTAATTACTTCCTTCCACAATTGGTTTCTCTGCTGTCTCTCTGACCTGCAATGATTCTTACGTGATTTTCCCTGATCAACGCTCCAGGAAACATTCCATTTAGATCTTCCTAATAATGTCCCATGCAGCTCCACTTGCTTAGGGGTTTCCTACTGGAGATTCTCCTCTTCATTCTCACTCAGCATCTCTTCACCTGCTAGGATATAGAGAGAATTCAGACTAGAGTCAGTCCCAGTGCTAGAGTCAAAGGAAACAAAGGGGAATAGCAAAGAGGAGAAAGAAAACACAAGAACTGTTGGGGTTTTGAGAAAGAGAAAGTTTAGTTACCCATCTGTAAGTTTTCCTTCTCTGAAGTGAGCCCCTGGTTCTCAGTGACCCATTACAACTGGGTTACTCCACTCCACTCTGTTAGGAACATGGAGATCAAATAAAATAAATTTTTCTAGGATCCCAATGTTGTGCCAGAAGATGGAGGTGTTCTGTGACCATTTTGCCTCTCTAGCTCTCAAGACAACTGCCCAAGTTGAGAAGACAAGACAAGCTATAAGTTCTGATGAATAAACTTCACAGAAGGTTAGCCATCTCCAGGCAGAACACTTTTCCTACTTATTCATTTGGTATACAAAAAATGGAAATGAAGGTTTACAGGAAAGCAAGATTCCCAATGGGTGGGAATCCTAAGTTTTCTCCATCTCTCTGTTGGAGGGCTTCATAGGGCAAATAAAGAAGGTTTGAGATTGTGACGTTATGAGTGTAATATAATATCTCATTGAAAGGTGACAGATCTGCTTTGGGTTTCAAGAGGGGGAAACCTTAAGCCATAAGGATTGAGATCCCCAGTTATTGAGTGGAGTCACCCTGAACATGGACATTGGACTGTATCCTCTGGACTATTTCTAAAAGGACTTTTGGTCACTACAAACTCATGTCTGCTATGTATCTGAACCTCAAGAATTGAACACAAGTCTGTATGTATATTGATCTTCTAACCAACACGCTCTCTCTTTTCTTTTTTAATAAATTTTAGTTTAGTTAATCAGAATTGACTGTAAGCATGTATTTGGGGTAAGATCTAAGTTATTATTTGACCCGGGTCTCGGGCTTGGTCCTTTGGGGTCAGGAGAACCTTTTCTTTTATATGATGAAATAAGATTATGATGAAATAAGATTTTCAGAATTTATCATCATATGTTTGACATGTGTGTCTGGATGGGGGCCTGAGGCTGCGTACTTTAAGGGAACTGCGTTGTTTGGACTTCTGAGTAAGCAGTGAGGTAATAGAGAAGCTGGTTTGTGCTTGGTAAATCTAAATATTGGAATATCCACCAGCATTTGGGGTTTGTTTGCCCCGTTCTGTTTGCAGTTCACCCTAATTGAGTGACCTCAGCTGGCTCCCACGGGCAGCATCGTCACAGAGATATATCCCCTTCAACTGGAATTTAATGCAAAATGTATGTGGCATCTCCCATTGAGCACTGGAGCCCACTTCAGAGAAGGGAGAACAATGGATGGGTAGATAATTTTTACCTTCCTTCTTCTTAGGTACCTGGTGATCTATGATCCGTTACAGCAGGAAAGCAGCCAATACTAAAACCAATCTCCACGAAGAAGAGGGAAACTTAAAACGTGAATAAAATTGAGCCAACAGGAAAAACAGCTCTTATTTGAGGGTTTCTTTTTCTTTTCTTCCTTTCCCCAAGATATGATGAAAAACCAAGAGAGAGAGCGCAGAACTCTTTGTCCAAATGCATTTCAGACAAACACCACCACATCTCTTCCCAGTGTCAGGAAAGAGAATACATTGAAGACCAGGGATATATAGCAAAATTACCTGAATGAAGCATTTGTGCTGTTCTGCAAAGGAAATGACCTAAGCTAATACTCTGACCCAATCAAGAACCTGTCTAGAAAGAGATCCTATATCTCCCTGGTTGTGAGACAAAATAGGATTCTTGTCCTGTCAAGAGCACCATGAAGATCCAATTATCTGAATCGCTAAAAAAAGCCCAGTTTTGTGGGCAATTTCTAGATTTGAGCAGGAAGTCCATGAGTTCTCCTGAACATTCATGCTCCAGAAGGGAAAACCTCCCAGGTTCCAGGGGAAACGGCTGAAGTGCTGTGTACCTGGGAGTCTGAGCAAAGGGTATCCTTTACCAGGAGCAAGAGAATATGAGACAAAGCACAATATGGTGATAAAAGTACTAATGAGAATTACTCCAGGTTAGGCATTTTAGAACTCACCACTCAAAGAATTAATCTGAAGCGAAAGAAAGAAATAAAATTATGAAATGCACAAACCAGTCAAAAAACTAAAAGAACAGCACTGTGATCCTTAACGAACTTTGAAAGGATAAAATTACAGAGAATATATGTGCCGTGCACATTCTGACAGGAAGTACCAAGAAGTAACAATAATAATGTGTGTGTGTGAGAGAGTGTGTGCTGGGGGGACTGTGTGAGGGAGAGTATGTGTGTGTTGGAGGAGTGTCTGAGAGAGTGTGTGTGTGTGTGTTTGTGTGTCAGAGAGTGTGTGTGAGAGAGAGGGAGTGTATGTATGAGGGATTGAGAGTGTGTGTGAGTATGTGTGTGGGAGAGAGAGTGAGTGTGTGTGACAGTGTGTGTGTGTGCAACAGTACGCATGTGTGTTTGTGCATGTAGGAGGGAGTGTGTGTGTGACAGAGGGCGCATGCGTGTGTGTGTATGTTGGGAGGAATCTGAGTGTGCCGGAGTGAGTGTGTCAGGGCTCTGTCTCTTTAAGCAGACCATTCAAGAGCCTGAACACAGCAGCACCCCCTCCGCACCCGGAGGCTCCAGCACACACACGCTCCCCCTGGCCCCCCCCCAGCTCAGTGGAGACCGGGTACACGGTGGGGGGAAGGGGACACCCCACACCAGGGCCAAACACCAAGCAGCCCAGGGGATGGTGGGAGAGCACGGGTGGACTCTCCGAGCATGACTCTGAAGACCTGGGCCCCAGCTAAGTCCACGCTGCAAAATGATGCAGTGTGAACCTCAAGTTCCAACAGGACTTGGACTCAAACACCCCCCCACACACACCCTTTTCAGGTCCTTGGGCCCAGGTCCCGAGGGCTTACCGGCCTGAGTCAGACAAATTTGTGTCTAGACGGAAGGCGAGCGGGGGGTTGGGCACGAACATGAGCCAAGACTTACACTGCCGTGTAAACGTACCCCCACAGGATCTATCTACACTGCAAAGAAAACCCCATGGCAGTGAGTCTCTGAGCCCAGGTCTACTGACTCAGACTACGGGGCCGAAAATAGCAGTGTAGACATTCCCGCTGTAAGAGGGGTGAGTCTCAGACCAGCCTGAGCAGGAACATATATACCGGTATTTTCAGCCCTGTAGCGTGATCCCAAATCAGTGAACCTGGGCTGACACTTGCTGCCGGAGTTTCTCTTTTGCCAGTGTCGATGTACCTTAAGGCTATTATCCAGTGCTCATCAGCCTCTCTATATGGCCCAGCCACCAATAAAGGGGGGACAAAGTGCCCTACTGAGTGGGCATGGGTTAGACAAGCAGCAGCAGAAAGGGCAGGGATGGTGTCCCTAGCCTCTTGTTTGCCAGAAGCTGGGATTGGGTGACAGAGGATGGATCACTTGATCATTACCTGTTCTGTTCATTACCTTTGGGGCACCTGCCATTGGCCACTGTCAGAGGACAGGAAACTGGGCTAGATGGACGTTTGATCTGACCTAGTATGGCGGTTCTTATGTTCAGAAGTCAGCATCTGATTCTCCCTACAAGTGCTTCACACTGCTGTAGACCGTTCCAGGCACTGCCATGGGTTGACTCTGGATTTGTACCAGGCTGAGAGAGAGGGCAATCAGCCTACGTGACACCAAAGTTACTCCTGATTTACACTGGGGCAGATGAGAATCAACCCCATGTGACGCCAAGGGGGGTCACTCCAGATTTACACACGGTTGAGTGAGGGGAATGGGGCCCAAGTGACTCCGGTGGGACCTCGCCCGATTTAAACTGGGCTCAGCAAGAGGCGCACAGTGAGTTTCGACTCTAGGGGAAGTCCGAGAGCGTATGACGAGGCACATCTAAGATACTTTGGGTGACCTCCCTGCATTCCCTCAGCCTACCCGGCCTGGATGGTGTGTGTAACTTTAACAACACATTGTGTGGGTTTGTAATGCTCGCGTGACTCCCCACTTACTGTGCACCTCACGCTTGATTTTGGGGCAATGAATAATACCTAGCTTTGACACAGCACTGTACATCAGCCCACGTCAGAGCATTTTGCAAAACTGGTCACTGTTTCTCTCCACGACTGCTCTACCGGCTTTTAAAAAAACATGCAGCAGAGTGACTGTCTGCCTCTGCAAGAGACAGGTGAACAGAAATGCCGGCCAGAAAAAGATTTCCCCTGTACACAAGGGTTTTTCCATCACAGACCCCTGGAAGGGTCTGAAAAGCTCTGGAATCTGCAGCGCTCAGGGTTGGGGAATTAACACCTGAAAGAGGCTTCCTAGTCAGCCTCCGAGTCCACCAAAGGCCATTTGTTAGTCATTATACTAGACAAAAGATTCTGGACGGTTAAGAAACTGAAGTCTACTTTAATTATTCCAAAGACAGAAATGAAAAGCTCCCGTCCCAGGGCCCTGCTCAGCAAGGTGTGTTTCAGCCCAGCACATTGCTGCTTATGGCTCCAGCAACAGAATTCCCTTCTACCGCTGGCAGAAAAGGGAAGAGAATTCGAGAAAGACGCTGTGCCCTGAGACAGGCAGTTGGATGCTAGGTAGTCAAATGCCCCTGATTTCGGAATTAGGATATGGATGGTTTGGGGATTTTTTTACCATGGCCCGCCCTAATCAAGGCACGGGGAGACTGTCCTTCCAGCGTGCAGGAGGAGCCTACACTGTCCCAGGTGGTGTTAGCTCCATACTCCCTGCTAAGAAGATCTAAGAGGTCTCTTCTCTGTGTTCATTTGTTCACACTTGACATGGTCAGAGCCCCGTTGAAGCTTCCCTGTCACTCAAATTCTCTCTCCAGTGTGGTCTTTAATAGAGTGTGAGCTGTGATTGAAACTTTTCCTGCCATCAAGGCATTTACTGGCGTGGTTCGCTGGGGGACCGCAGAGGTCTTCAAGGGGGTATGTGAACTCATCCAGAGAGTTGCCTAGTTTCACAACAGGCTACATGAGAAGCACTAGTCAAGTCAGGACACACTAAAGTTTCATACAGATAATGACTTGTTGACACTGCTGTATATGTTATGCCCATAGCTGACGTGTTGGGGGGGGGTCATGCTGGGTCACATCCCCCCCCCCAGATTTATGCCAGGGTGGGCGGTAGGCTGAGAGGGACGTGCCTGGGTGGCGCCCAGAGCAGGGAAGCGAGACCAGGCTGGCAGCACTGGGGGCGTGGGGAAGGCGGCTGAATCTGTCCCTTCCATGCCAGCAGCCACCGTTACCTGCTCTGGTAGCCTGCCTGGGGTGCGCAGAGGGCGCTCTAGGGGTCAATGGGGCCCAGGTGAGCTGGGGGTGGGATAGGGAGGCAGCGGGGGCCGGGGGTGATGGGTGGGGGCCAGGGGGAGGCAATAGGAACCTGGGAGACCAGGGGAGGCAGCGGGAGGCCAGGGCAATGGGGGGATGGGTGGCGGGACGGAGGAGAAAGCAGGGATCGGGGGGATGGGTGGAGGGCTGGGGGAGGCAGTGAGGGCCAGGATGGGTAGAGGAGGCATCAAAGGCCAGGGGGGGATGGGTGGGAGGACAGGGGAGGCAGCAAGGGCCAGGGCGATGGGTGGTGGGCCGGAAGAGGGGGATGGGGCGGGGGAGGCAGCGAGGGCTGGGGGGGGGGGGTAGGGGAGGCATCAGGGGCCAGGAGTGGTGGGCGGGAGGACAGTGGAGACAGCAGGGGCTGGGGGGATGGGGGATGGGCTGGAGGAGGAAGCAGGGACTGGAGGGGATGGGTAGGGGTCCGGGGGAGGCAGCGGGAGCCGGGGTGATGGGAAGGTTGGAGGGAGGTAGCAGAAGCCAGAGAGTACGGGAGGGCTGGAGGAAGCATCAGAGGCCAGGGGTGATGGTGGAGGGGTTGGGGGAGGCAGCGGGGGCCAGAACACCAAAATACCAGTTCCCCTGGAGTGCCATTTTCCATAATGCTGGCCCTAGGAGGGCCGCCCTTAAGGGTGGGTGACATGGGTGACCGCCCAGGGTGCTGTGGTCGGAGGGGCCCTGTGGTCAAGAGGGGGTTGACTGTGGTGGTGGTGGCGGCAAGGGGGGGGCTGCCATTGTGCCCCCACCCTCAGTAGTTACTAGTCGCCTATGCATCTGTATCAGTGTCTCTCAATCTACAGTAGATGTTTTATAATTATAGGGTAAAAATGAGAAAGGAAGCCATCTTTCAGTACTAGTGGTTGTGACCCTTTTGTATTTTGATGTCTGATTTTGTAAGCAAGTCATTTTTAAGTGAGGTGAAACTTGGGAGTAGGCAAGACAAATCAGCCTCCGGAAAAGGGTACAGTCGTCTCGAAAGGTCGAGAGCCACTGATTTATAGGGTCTCTCTCCTGCATGGACTAGCTGATATATACAAAAATGTGAGCTGTGAATGAAACATTTCACACATTCAGAGTATGTATACAGTCGCTCTGCCATGTGGTTAATGTGAAATGTGGACTTAACTCTGACGGAAATTTTTCCCACAGTCCAGGGATTCATAAGGGCTTTCTCCAACATGGGTTCTCCAGTGTGTGGTGAGATGTGACTTTTACTAAACTTTTGCTCACAAGTGGAGGCTTTTATGGTGTTTTTCCTCTCATGTGGATTTTCTGATGCACAAGAAGATCTGAGCTCTGAATGAAACTATTCCCACAGTCTAGGCACGTATGGGGTCTTTCCCCCGTGTGGATTCTCCGATGTCTAGCAAGGTTGGAACTCCGACTGAAGTATCTCCCACAGTCAGAGCATTTAAAGGGTGTTTCTCCTGTATGGCTTCTCTGATGAACAATAACATCTGAGCTCTGAATGAAACTTTTCCCACAGTCCAGGCATTTATGGGTTTTTTCCCCTGTGTGGGTTCTCTGATGTCTAGTAAGGTTGGAACTTCGACTGAAGTTTTTCCCACAGTCGGGACATTTATAGGGTGTTTCTCCCGTATGAACTCTCTGATGCACAATTAGATCTGAGCTCTGAATGAAACTGTTCCCACAGTCCTTGCATACGTAGGGTTTCGCTTCTGAGTGGCTTCTGTGATGTGTAGTAAGTTGTGACTTATCACTAAACTTTTCCCCAGAGTCGAGGCATTTATGTGGTTTTTCTCGTATGTGGACTATCTGGTGTCTCTCCAGGTTTGAACTTCGATTGAAGCTTTTCCCACAGTCGGGGCATTTATAGGGCATTTCTCCCGTATGGGTTCGCTGATGCGCAATAAGATGTGCACTCTGAAGGAACCGTTTCCCACAGTCAAAGCATTTATAGGGTCTCTCACCCATGTGGGCACTTTGATGTGTAATAAGTTGGGAGTTGTCAATAAAATTTTTCCCACAGTCAAGGTATTTATAGGGCTTCTCTCCTGTATGGACTCTCTGATATCAAACTAGGTTTGACCTCCGATTGAAATTTATCCCACAGACCTGGCATTTATATGGTTTCTCTCCTGTGTGGATTCTGTGATGTGAAATAAGATGTGAGTGCTGAAAAAATGTTTCTCACCGTAAATTCATTTGTAGGCTCTCTCTCCTGTGTGGGGGTTCTCTGATGCGTAATAAAGCGTGCTTCTGTCACTAAACTAACTCCCAGTCAATGCGTTATAGGGTCTCTCCTGTGTGAATTCTTTGATGTCCAATAAGGTGCCAGTTGTCATTAAATCTTTTTCCACACTCAATGCATTTATAGAGTTTCTCTCTTGTGTAGGTTTTCTGGTGTCTAATAAAGTGCAATGGCAAACTGACGTTTTTGCCGTGCGTTGTGCATGTGTTTTTTTTCTCTTGTGTGTGGATTCTCTGCTGGGCTGTGGTTTCCTTGAGATCGTTGCACCTTTTCCCACAAATAAGGGATTTAATTACTTCCTTCCACAGTTGGTTTCTCTGCTGTCTCTCTGACCTGCAATGACTCTCACAAGATTTTCCGTGGTCAACGCTTCAGGAAACGTTCCATTTAGATCTTCCCAATAACGTCCCATGCAGCTCCACTTGCTTAGGGGTTCCCTACTGGAGATTCTCCTCTTCATTCTCATTCAGCATCTCTTCACCTGCTAGGATACAGAGAGAATTCAGACTAGAGTCAGTCCCAGTGCTAGGGCCAAAGGGAAAGAACGGGGAACAGCAAAGAGAAGAAAGAAAACACAAGAACTGTTGGGGTTTTGAGAAAGATAAAAGTTACTTACCTGTCTGCAAGTTTTCCTTCTCTGAAGTGAGCCCCTGGTGCTCAGTGATCCATTACAACTGGGCTACTCCTCTTCATTTTAGGAGCATGGAGATAAAATAAAATAAACTTGTCTAGCGTCACAATGTCGTGCCAGAAGATGGAGGTGTTCTGTGAACATTTTGTCTTTCTAACGCTCAAGACAAATGCCCAAGTTGAGAAGACGAGCTATAAGTTCTACTCCTGTGGGAATTCTGAGCATCTGCGGATGTGCAGAATTCATAGCTCCTGTAGATTCCCCCCCCGCCCTGCCCCGGAAAAATACTTTTCTGCCCAAGAACTGCTGCAGTTTAGCCTTTCGCCCACCAGAGGCTGCTGTGGTGCCAGAAAGGCAACCAGCATGAATGCAGCCGGCTGTTCTGGCGCTACAGCGATCTCTGGTGGGCAAAAGGCGGAACTGCAGAACATCGGGGGCAGAATGTATTTTCTGTGGGGGAAAAAAGTTCTGTATTAATACAATAACTCCTCACTTAATGTCGTTCCGGTTAACATTGTTTTGTCCCTGACCTATTAGAGAACATACTCATTTAAAGTTGCGTGATGTTTCCTTATAAAGTTTTTTGACCATGGGGGCTTGGAACCAGGGTGGGCTGGCAGCCCTTCTATCAGCTCCCCTCTACCCCAACAATGCCTCCCGCCCCACAGATCAGCAACTCCCTCCTCCCTCCCTGCGCTTCCTGCCCACAGCAATCAGCTGTTTTACAGCATTCAGGTGGCTCTGGGGGCAAAAGGAGGGAGGAGCGATGATGCGCTCGGGGGAGGGGGTGGAGTGGGGGCGGATCGGAGGCAGAGCTGGGGGTTGAGCACCCCCCCCCCCGCCCCCAGTACTTTGGAAAGTTGGCACCTGTGCAGCCGTGCATGCAGCGTCTGGAGAAGGGAGTGGTGCGCTCCAGAGGGATAGCGTGGGTTCATCGTCACATTCAGTTTCCCCAAGGAGCGGTTCCAGCCGCTGCTCTGCATCTATTGTGTCTCCTCCCTCCTGCCTCCCTCGGTGCTGCCTTGTAGTGTGAGGCTACATTAACAATGTATTAACCCTTCAGGGCGCAGCCAAGTGCTAGTTCATCATTTAACAGCAAGGAATTCCCTGGGAAATATCACACCTGATATCAACATGGTTGCTTTAGGAAAAGCTCAGGGAACACATGAGCAGGTCCCCAGACAATCCTCTGATGAGAACTTGTTTAAAACTTATACTGTATATGTATATAATGTCTTTTGTCTGGTGAAAAAAAAAATCCCTGGAACCTAACCCCCGCCATTTACATTCGTTCTTATGGGGAAATTGGATTCGCTTTACATCATTTCGCTTAAAGTCACATTTTCGAAGAACATAACTACAACACTAAGCGAGAAGTTACTGTATGCTTAGTAGGGAATCTACGTGTCAGAAACAATTACCAGAATCTTTTTTTTTCTTTTTGTCTTTATTGTTACAGACATACTTGCCGAGAGACATTTTGAAATAAATTACCAAAATAATTGAAACTGGCATAATTATATTGTGTTATTTTGACAAATAAAATATGCAGAATTTTGCAGAATTATAAAATAATGTGTGCAGAATTTTAAATTTTTTGGCACAGAATTCCCCCAGGAGTAACGTTTTGATGAATAAATTTTACAGAAGATTAGCCATCTCCAGGCAGGATACTTCATCTACTTATTCATTTGTTACACAAAAATGGAAATGAAGGTTTTCAGCAAAGCAAGGTCCCAAAAGGTGGGAATCCTAAGTTTTCTCCATCTCTCTGTCGGAGGGTTCCATGGGGGAAATAAAGAAGGATTGAGACATTTCCCCTTCAACTAGAATTTAATGTAAAATTTGTGTCGGGTCTCATGGAGCACCAGAGCCCACTTCAGAGAAGGGGAAACAATGGACGGGTGGATAATTTTTACCTTTCTCCTTCTTAGGTACCTGGTGGTCAATGATCCATTACAGCAAAGAAGTAGCCAATACTAAAACCAATCTCCACAAACAAGAGGGAAACTTAAAAGATCAAGAAAATTGAACCAACAGGAAAAACATAATAGAGGGCTTGTTTTTTTCTCTTATTCCCCCAAGATACGACGAAAAACTAAGAGAGAAAGAGCGCAGAACTCTTTGTCCAAATGCCATTTCAGACAAACACCACCACATCTCTTCCCAGTGACAGGTAAGAGAATATACTGAAGACCAGGTAGTCACATGGCAAAATTACCTGAATGAAGCATTGTGCTGTTTTGGAAAGGAAATTACCTAAGCTAGCACTCAGACCCAACCAAGAACCTGTCTAGAAAGAGATCCTAGATCTCCCTGGTTGTGAGACAAAATAGGATTCTTGTCCTGTCAAGAGCACCATGAAGATCCTGTTATCTGAATCCCTAGAAAAGCCCAGGTTTGTGGGAAGCTTCTAGATTTGAGCAGGAAGTCCATGAGTTCTCCTGAACATTCATGCTCCAGAAGGGAAAACCTTCCAGGTTCCAGGGCAAACGCCTGAGGTGCTGCGTACCTGGGAGCTTGAGGGACACCTGGAACAGACATTTCCTCCAGCCCAGGAAGATCAAGGATATTGAACTGCCATATCTAGGAATCTGAGAGACCAGCACTGAAAGTGGTCTGAGAAAGGGTGGGTGTGGGTGTGGTCCATCATTTTCAACCAAAATGAAAATGATGCCACATCTGCCTGTCCCCTCCGCCCCCTCCAACCCCTGCATGCATTCTCCCCCATCTCCCACATCAGTTCAGTCCCCGCCCATCAATTTTGCCTCCCCACCTCTTTTCCTACAGCTCCAGAGGTTCTTTGCCCTGTGAGGCACTGTACCTCAAAATAGCAACCTGTATCCCCCATAAGCACCAAAATCATGTAATTGTGATATTTCATACAGAGCATGCCATGTAAGATATGAAAGGTCATGATCTTCTGAAACCCACTGTTCTGTCCAAATATGTGTACCATTAGTGTTTATAAAGTTATGAGATTGTGATATGGCTGTGTGAGTGAGAGGTAACACAGACAGGACAATACACTGCTGTTGCCCCCTTGAAAGCTATGGGGATGAATCCACATCTCCAATATGTTTCTGTCTCCCCGAACTCAGGTTTGGAGTCTCAACTCTGTCTCCCACTGGAGCTAAGGAAGACGGAGCCCACTCCCGCAAAATTGAAGCAAGCAGGGAAGAACCTGAGCAGATGCCCAACAGGGCACATCAGAGATGTGGCAGTTTCCAATAACCAAGGGAAAAAGTAATCCCTTACCCAGTGAGGTCACCGTCTCGTAGTTCTCCTGCATGACGTCCCTGTAGAGGGCTCTCTGAGCGGGGTCCAGCAGAGCCCCCTGCCCCTGGGTGAAATACACAGCCACCTCCTCGAAGGTCACCGGCCCCTGAAACAACAAGAGTCCCCCACTCAGCACCTGCTGCCCCAGCCACAATCCCACTAGTCACGTGCGAGAAGGCTGATAAAATGGAAGCTCTGGGAGGTCACGGAGGAGCAGAATCTCAACCCCACCCTGCACAGAGCAGCCAGGAGGCTTCAGGGTGGAGAGAAAGAGAGAGCTCCTTGTCCCTCCCAGCCAATGGAGGAGGGCAGGGGCTTTCCCGTTTATCACACGCCTACTAGCCAGAGGCTGGTATGGGAGGGCAGAGCCCTCGAGCAGGGTCCAGGGACAGGAATCCCAACCCCATTCCCAGCAGCTGGGTGTGAGGGGACAGGGCCTCTCCCCTGGGCCTCACTGCTGGGTGCCCCCTTTGTATTTCAGAGCAGCCTCTGCCTGGTGGGTTCAGACTCCAGCACTGGGAGTCTGGTCTGTTTTCCCAGCCTTGTCCGGTGGGGCTGTTCCCTGTTCCACAAATGGGGGAATTTACCTTCCCCATGGGCTTGCTCCAAAAATCAGGCCCCAGATTGAACACATCCCAGCAGTTTATCCCATCCTATAACCCCCCCACACTTTCTCCCTCTGTGTATTTCCTGCCTCTGCCCCTCTAGACTCTTCCCCCCGCACCTCAGCAGCTTCCTGAAAATCCCAGCTTCAGCCAGTCATTTTCCTTCCCCATCCCCTGGGAGGATGGGACAACCTCGAGCAAAACGCGGACATGATTCTGCAGCCTGTCAGGATGAGCAGGGCAACTGGGGATATTTCCAAAGGGGCTTGCGTCCATTTCACACCCACTTCCCTCTCGGTTCTTTCCCTGCAGACAGAGGCTCTAGACTCTGGCAGACGGGGAGAATGCTGGATCACTTTATTCCAGCGCAGACCTGGCCCCTCTCACCAAGACTAAACCCACCATGACATTTTTAGCAGCTCCCAGTAACAGAGACTCTGAGCCAAATGCTAGAAAAGAGCAAAATCAAAGGCGCTGCTTTGGAGGATTCCCCTAGACAATGTCCCGCTGGGGCAGTGCGTCCGCCCAGCAGTGCGGGTATGGGGCAGAGACAGAAACTGGCTTTTCCTCCCTCTGCTCCTTGCCTTGCTCCCAGAAAATCAATCTGCCCAGGGATGATGCAGGGAATAAATCTGGGCCGGCCTAGGAGCTGGGAACCTCTCTCCTCATTTACTGCTCCTGCTGCCCTGCTCAGTCTCTCTGTCCCTTTCTGTCTCCTTTCCCCTCTGGCTGGGGGGAGATCCTGTTAGTATCCCCTTCACTGTGGCCTGCTCTTCCTGCTCTCATAACCAGATCAGCTCCCACGAGTGCTAACTGGTGTGTGTTGCCAGTGACAGCAGCATCTCTGGGACTCTCAGACACATGGGGAGCAGAGATTGGGGGTTGGGGGGGGACACGCACAAGTGGCAAACTCAGACAAAAAAGAGGTGCGAAAAATCCAAGTTGTGAGGAGATTTTTACACCAATAATCAAGAAATAGAGGGCAAAAGGCAGAGTGTGGGGAGATTTGATAGGAGAGTAGACGAATTAAGGAGAAAGGGGTAGAAAGCAGTGGTTTTAGATCAATATGCCAACAAGATGAAGTTGAGAATGTCTGAGGATATAGTGTTTTAAATTAGAATCATAGAATAACAGAGTTGGAAGGGACCTCTGGAGGCCATCTAGTCCAACCCCCTGCCCAGAGCAGGACCAATCCCAACTAAATCATCCCAGCCAGGGCTTTGTCAAGCCTGACCCTAAAAACTTCTAAGGAAGGGGATCCCACCACCTCCCTAGGTAACACATTCCAGTATTTCACCACCCTCCTAGTGAAAAAGTTTTTCCTAATATCCAACCTAAATCTCCCCCACTGCAACTTGAGACTATTACTCCTTGTCCTGTCATCTGCTATCACTGAGAATAGTCTAGATCCATCCTCTTTGGATCCACCTTTCAGGTAGGTAAAAGCAGCTATCAAATCCCCCCTCATTCTTCTCTTCCGTAGTCTAAACAATCCCAGTTCCCTCAGCCTCTCCTCATAAGTCATGTGTTCCAGACCCCTAATCATTTTTGTTGCCCTTCGCTGGACTCTCTCCAATTTCTCCACATCCTTCTTGTAGTGTGGGGCCCAAAACTAGACACAGTACTCCAGATGAGGCCTCTCCAATGTCGAATAGAGGGGAACGATCTGCTGCCAATGCCCTACTTATATACCCCAAAATGCCACTGGCCTTTTTGGCAACAAGGGCACACTGTTGACTCATATCCAGCTTCTCATTCACTGTCACCCCTAGGTTTCAGAGGAACAGCCGTGTTAGTCTGTATTCGCAAAAAGAAAAGGAGTACTTGTGGCACCTTAGAGACTAACCAATTTATTTGAGCATGAGCTTTCGTGAGCTACAGCTCACTTCATCAGATGTATACCGTGGAAACTGCAGCAGACTTTATATACACACAGAGAATATGAAACAATACCTCCTCCCACCCCACTGTCCTGCTGGTAGGTCCTTCTCTGCAGAACTGCTGCCTAGCCATTCGGTCCCTAGTCTGTAGTGGTGCATTGGATTCTTCCGTCCTAAGTGCAGGACTCTGCACTTGTCCTTGTTGAACCTCATCAGATAATTAATTAATTAATATCAGATAATGAGAGAAAAGGAGCAAAACATAAAAGGGGTATTAAATCCATTCTAGATAATTAGACCCTGTCTCCCACATCCCTTCTGGGGAGTGAATCAGAGAAATAATTTCCCTCCAAAACACGAAGCTGGTACAGTCAAAAAAGGGTGGGGAAACCCGCTCAAATCTGAGAAAGGGCTTATATCAATATTTGAGAACTACAGGGGGGGAAATGGCAAAAATGGAGAGGATCTGATATTAATATTCAATAAAGGGGAGACAAAGGAGAAAATCTAAGGGAATTGTATACAATCATTTGATAACTAGACGAAGAAAAAGGGGTCCAATTTGCAGGGATTTTATAGAGTATCTGATCATTCAAGAGCGAAAAAGGTCAAAAGGTGAGAGATTTTTATATGATTATTTTACAATTAAAGAGAGAAAAGGGCAATACGTGAGGTGGGTTGTTATGATAATTGGGCCCACAGATTTATGCTAACTGGGATCTCAACTGTAAAAAGCATGTGAAAGTTCATAGAATATAATGACCTATAATAACAAATGGTGATGGCAAAAAGGTACGAAAGGGAGACAGAGTGAATTAGTCTCCAAAAAAGGCCTCCTGATATAACTCAAGGACCGTGTTGAAATCCTGCTTGGTGAAAACAGAAGACGTGGAATCAGAAATTAATTAACTAAATGGACATATATTAGGCCTCATTGGTGGAAAAATAATAAAGGGATGTGTCCACCCATCACTCCCTTTTTGGGTCCTTAAAGAAAGAGGCTTTGAGAAGAAAAGATGGAAGAACAGATAGAGGCTACTGGGGCAATGCTTCACCATCATGGTTGCCACCCTCACCATCTCTTGGGACTCTAGACCTTCTTTGTCCTAATCCTGAGACCAGGGCCAGCCCTAGACCAAATTGCACCCCAAGCGAGGAGTGTCTTTGGTGCCCTCCACTCCCCAATTGTTAAACTTTATTGCACTTGTAGCCCATTTCACACTCTTCAAGTCTTAAAACACAAGTACACATTCACAATGACACAATAAAACAAGGTACACAATATCGCAGCTGGGCTCTCACTTCAGTTCGTTCTTATATCTTACAGACTGACTAGCGATGCCCCGCCCCCTTATCTACCGGCAAGGGCCCAGCTGACAACATTCTAGGAGGCTGCAGGAAAATTCTCAGAACGTCTGGAAGGTTCCACAAGATTCTACAAAGGTCCAGAACATTCTAGGTGGTTAGTGAAAAATGAATCCACATACGGAATACCTGAAACATGTTACTTCAAACATTCTATTTTCCCTTTTGTCGCTAACAAGAAAAACAGCACACCCAAGCCTGGTGTCCCCCAAACCCAGCACCCCAGGCGGCCATCTGCCCCCCAGATCCGGCCCTGCTGAGACATGTCCTGACCAGCCCATACCAGAAAGAGGGATCCCGATGACATTGTCACCCCTACCAGCTCCAAACAGCCACTGAGATTAAACGGGATTGGATTTTAACAGCAGTAGTAACAACTAACTTCTTCTCTTTTACCCATAAGACCAATTATTACCATCTTTGATACTATCTAAGAAACTATCAAACCAGGGGATTTTTCCTTCTAAAAACTGTCCCCAACTAAAGGGAAAGGGAACAAGGAATCTTGTTAAAATGAACGCCTTAATTAATACTTTAAACATTTCAAATGCTTTAACTTTTTTCCTTCTTTTATCTTTTACAGTAGAACCTCAGAGGTATGAACACCAGAGTTACAAAGTGACCAGTCAACCGCACACCTCAGTTGGAACCGAAAGTACGCAATCAAGCAGCAGCAGAGACCGAAAAAAAAAAGCAAATACAGTACAGTGTTGTGTTAAATGTAAACTACTAAAAAAAATAAAGGCACAGCAGCATTTTTCTTCAGTACAGTAAAGTTTCGAAACTGTATTAAGTCAATGTTCAGTTGTAAACTTGAAAAAAACCACACCACGTTTTGTTCAGAGTTACAAACACTTCAGAGTGACGAACAACCTCTGTTTCCAAGGTGTTTGTAACTCTGAGGTTCTACTGTACAAAAGGATAAAATGATTTTTAATGGTGTGTTTGCCAAGGTACTAAACAAGCGGAGGACTCTGTATTTCAGACCCCGGATTATGTTTAACACAATTTCAGGTTAGACAGTAACGGGGTTACGTTAGCACTTTTAACCCATATTTTCCATGTAAATTAATACAACAGCCCCTTAGGACAATCCCAGGTACGTAGAGAATCCCCTCCTTTTCTAGGGGTCCCAGAGGCTCCTCATTTCTATTCTGTAGGCCTGGCTTGACACAAGTAACTACCCTCATTTCTTAGTGGGCGTAATTGGGACAGTGAATGGAAGGTTAAGTTGTAAATAGGGGCTTGACAAACACTATGCTGGGAGTCAGGATGTCTGTGCTAGCAACATCTTGATGAGAGAGACTATGGAAAGATAAACCTGGAAGGTAAAGATCAGGTTGCACCCGGACACCACATGGACAGAGCATGCTGTACAGGGATTGGCTCCTGCAAAGTAACCAAGCCAATCAAAAAATGTGCAGTGTAATGTATAGCAAATGCAATGTAAGGTTTAAATGTCTATAAAGGAAGAGGCTGACCACGTAAACTTTGGATGTGTGGCATGCCCTATACCCACCCCCTACGCTTGTCGCTGTAGGCCAAACAAAGGAACCTGCGTCAGGAAATCCAGAGTCAAACGGAGTGTTTTCGATCCCAGAGAACTGGAGGAACTGGACAATGTGTTCTGGATAAGCCAAACGGAAAAGGTCTTGGAGTGCATCCCAACAATCCCCACCTGCTCTGTAACAGGAGGCAGGAGGCCAATACTAATCCAGCTGCATTCTCCCCTCTAGATCCCCCCATTAGACAATAATTAGAGAGCAAACTCAGTAACTTTTAAAGAGATTTTTGTATCAGTATATAACTGAGAAGAAAATGAGGAAAATCTGAAAAGATTTACATAAATTGGCTAACTAGACTGGAAGAAAGGTATTATCTATGGGGTTATATATTAATAGTAACTATTTAGAGAAACAAATAACATTTATGCAGCTAATATATTAATAATCCATAAAGAGAAATGGATCAAAGTCTGAGGGGATTTTATACCAAAATCTTGTGACAAAAGGGAAAAAATCTGAGGGGTGGAACAACAACAACTGATATTGGGAGGAAAAGGGGCAAAATCAGAGAGGATTACAGTATATTGCTACATTGGATAATTATAACAAACAGCAAAACTGGAGGGGATTTATATTAATGTTACCTACAAAATCCACATTAAAAGAACGTTATTGAGGTTGCAAAGTCCAGCACTCAGAGTTAGGCAGGGTCAGAATCAAGGGAGCACGGGCAGTGTTAATTCTGCCCCTTTGTGCGAGTGCCTTATGAAATAATCTCTAATGACAGGATCACACATTGCACTGTTCAATAACACAGGATCTTGCCTCATTCAGTCCTTTAAAACCTTACATCTCTGATGTAACAAACATGTCCCTGAGAGCACGTTAAGATTGAAGAAATTTTTGGCCTCTGTAGAATCCCTTTCCATTCATGTCTTAAATTTGTAAAATCTCATGCTTCAGGGCCAGTCACCTGCAGGGGCCAGGAAGGAATTACCCCCCTACTTATTTTAGGATTTTTGGGGGGTGTTCTTTTCTTTTCCCTCTCCTTCTTTTGAAGCAATGGTTCTCAACCAGGGGTATGTGTACTCCTGGGGGTACGCAGAGGTTTTCCAGTGGGTACATCAACTCATCTAGCTATTTGCCTAGTTTTACAATGGGCTACATAAAAAGCACTACCGAAGTCAGTACAAACTAAAATTTCATAAAGACAATGACTTGTTTATACTGCTGTATAGACTATACACTGAAAAGTACAAGATTTATGTTCCCATCGATTTATTTTATCATTATATGGTAGAAAGGACGCAATTTTTCCGTACTAGTAGCTGTGACACTTTTGTATTTTTATGTCTGATTTTGTGAGCAAGTCGTTTTTAAGTGAGGTGAAACCTGGAGGAACGCAAGACAAATCAGCCTCCTGAAAGTGGTACAGTAGCCTGAAAAGGTTGAGAGCCACCACTCTGAAGCATCAGAGAATTGGAGATGGGACACTGGGCGGGATGGGACAGTCCTCAGAGATGGTACTGAGAATTCTCTTTCTCAGGTGCTTGCTCACATGCTCCAGGTCTAACAGTATTCAGGGTCAGGAAGGAATTTCCCCCCGAGTCAGGTTGGCAGGCATCTTCATTTTTGTTTTTTTTTAAACCTTCCTGTGCAGGGCAGGGAGCGAGTCGCCTGCAGGGTTCATCTGGATATATCTCAAGTCAATTCACTAAAACAACGAGGAGTCTGGTGGCACCTTAAAGACTAACAGATTTATTTGGGCATAAGCTTTCGTGGGTAAAAACCCAGTTCTTCCAAATAAATCTGTTAGTCTTTAAGGTACCACCAGACTCCTCGTTGTTTTTGTGGATACAGACTAACACAGCTACCCCTCTGATAGACAATTCATTGCCACTGCAGGGCCCTCCTGTTCTCGGCCCATAGCTTGGTCTCCTGAGGACTGTAATACTGTGGTCTAATTCTGGTTTGGCGTGGAGGTGGCTGGGTGGGGTTTAGTGGCCTGTGAGAGACAAGAGGTCTAACGGGATGATCTGGCAGTCCTTTCTGCCCTTAAACTCCATCAATCTAGGAGTATTCCACATCTCCCAGGAAATTATGGGGAATATCGCAAAGGCACTAAAGGAGTTAGATTTTTAAAAGAAATAACAACCTCCAGCGAAACTCCTTTGTCACCGATGAAGTGAGCTGTAGCTCACGAAAGCTTATGCTCAAATAAATTGGTTAGTCTCTAAGGTGCCACAAGTCCTCCTTTTCCTTTGTCACCCTTTCTCCACTCACTCCTTTTTCTCTACACCTCTTACGTTTCATCCATCCCCTCCCTAACAACCCATCCTCCGAGGCACAAAGAGACAGACTGGGACCTGTTCATGGTCCCATACCCATTTCTGCTCCTGAGTTGGGACCCTGGAGCAGATGCTAGGCAGAATGACAGGAGCCACACATTGCTGTCAGGAGCTTAATATCATCCGCCTCCCCCCATCCCGACTTTGCACTACGTAGTATACACCAGAACCTCAGAGTTACGAACACTTCAGGAACGGAGGTTGTTCGTAACTCTGAAATGTTCGTAACGCTGGTGGCTCTTTCAAAAAGTTTACAACCGAACATTGACTTAATACAGCGATGAAACTTTAGTGGGGAGAAGGAAAACGCTGCTTTTCACCATCTTCATTTAAACGAACCAAGCCCAGAAACAGTTTCCTTACCTTGTCAGAGCTTTTATTTAAAAAACTTTCCTCCCCCCCCTTTTTTTTTTTTAGTAGTTTAAGTTTAAACACAGGACTGTCGTGGATTCGCTTTTTATGTTTGGCTCTGCTGCTCCTTGATGGCGTATTTCCGCTTCCAAATGAGGCGTGCGGTTGACGGGCCAGTTCGTAACTCCGAGGTCCTACGGCAATCACATGTACAACGAGGAGTCCGGTGGCGCCTTAAAGACTAACAGATTTGTTTTTGTGGCTACAGACTAACACGGCTACCCCTCTGATACTTAGTCACATATAATGCTCCATCAGCTGACAGGACTTTGCCCCCCCCCCCGATTTTTTTCCAAACTGATGCTCCTGATTGCTACGAACAAACTCAGATCCTGTTTGTGCAGAGTCACTTTCCTGCCCCCCCCCCCAGCACCCCCTTCCCCACCCCACTTCTCTCTCTCATCACCTGGAGTCTCCGGCTGGTGTCAGGGGCTGCCTCCACACCAGAGAAAGTCCCCACCCAGGCTGGGCACAGGGTGGGGTTAATGCCGGTCTCTCCCCAGCACAGACCCCGCTGGGTGGGGGGGGGGGGGGGGGCAGCAGCTGCTCAGTCCCGGCTCCCGGCTCACAATGGAGGATCTGACCCAGGAAGAGAAGCAGACACAGATCGGTGCCGCCTTCCCCCGTCTGAACGAGAACCAGAACTCTGCGGATAGGCCAGCTAATGACTCGCCCCCTCCCTACACTCCACCCCCCCCCCCCCAGATGACACACACAACCCTGCCCTAATACTTCTCTCTCTGTCCTCTCACTCCAGAAGTCTGCAAAACAAAGCACCCGTAAAATCAGTGCCCCTGAGAAAGGTGTCCCCTGCATCAGGAAGTGAATTCTGGGAGAGGCTGCCCATGGGTAGGGAAAGCAGACCCCCTTCCCCTCCTCTGCCATCTGCCCCACACAGGGTGGGTGGCTGCCATGCAATGGGAAACACGTGCATTGAGAACTGGCAGTCCCAGGGAATCCCCACCACCCAGCTACAGACAGGTCCTTATATCTGCCAAATGCATTTATTTAAAAAAGGGGAGAAAATAGTCTAGATCAGTGGGTCTCAACCATTTTCCACTGAATGCATCCGATGAAGTGAGCTGTAGCTCACGAAAGCTTATGCTCAAATAAATTTGTTAGTCTCTAAGGTGCCACAAGTACTCCGTTTCTTTTTGCGAACCAGGGGTACGTGTACCTCTGGGGGTACGTAGTGGTCTTCCAGGGGGTACATCAACTCATCTAGATATTTGCCTAGTTTTCCAACAGACTACATAAAAAGCACTAGTGAAGTCAGGACAAACTAAAATTTCATACAGACAATGACTTGTTTATACTGCTCTATAGACTATACACTGAAATGGAAGTCCAATATTTATATTCCAGTTGATTTATTTCATAATTATGTGGTAGAAAGGAAGCAATTTGTCAGTACTAGTGGTTGTGACACTTTTGTATTTTTATGTCTGAGTTTGTAAGCCGGTAGTTTTTTAAGTGAGGTGAAACCTGGGGGTACACAAGCCAGATCAGACTCCTGAAAGGGGCACAGTCATCTGCAAAGGTTGAGAGATACTAGTCTAAAGTGATTCTAATCCCTGAGCTGGGTTCCTGCCTAAGGGACCTGGCCCAGATCCACAAAAGGACGTAAGGGGCGTTGGGATGTGGAGATGAAAGTCTTTCTCACACTGCAGTTTGGGACTTACCTTCTCATTTAGATTACCCCATAACTTTAAATGACTAAGTAAGAATCTGAGCATAAGTCAAAGTGGGCTCATCAGAGACCCCACAGTAACTAGGGGACGGGAATCCCTTACCACAGTCTCATAATTTTCCTGCATGACGTCCCTGTAGAGCCTTTAGTCATGGAGGTTTGTGATAATGATTGTTTTCCTTAAAGCCTCAGCTCCTGGAGTCAAGTGATTATTTCAGCCTTTATTCTTAAAAAAAAAAAAGTTTCTAGCCCTCGTGGCTATAGAGAAAGCTTCAAAATGTGACCCCAGTGCACCCTTATAGCTCAAAAAGCAGAAGGCAAATGAAAAGATCCCCAAAGCTCTTATTCTTACATAATCTCGTGATTTTAAAGCCAATCTCGTGATTTTTTGGGGAGCCTGATTCATGATTTTTGAACATTTGGGGGTTGACAATACTGGCAATTTAATATTTGGGACATTTACCCATCTATGTGGAAATCAAGGGGACTTGTCTTGTCAATAATGGGGTTCAATTTTAATATAACTAATGCCCCCCCAAACATACTTACCCCTCTCCTGTGTGTCACTCTCTTTCCTCCCCTCTCTCCATCTCTGTCTTACTTTTCACCCTTCCCTTTCTGCAAATCCATCCCCAGACAGACAACGGGGAAACTCCACAGGGACCCATCCATGTTCCCCCTGAACCCCATCTCCCTCCCCCTCTATTTCCCTCCTGAATCTCCCAGTTAGGCCCCTGGAAGAGATCCCGGGCAGCGTGAGAGCAGGGACTTGTCCCCGGGAATGCAAGATCAGATTATCCCTCCCTCAGGTGCATTCACAGCCCAGGGAGCAGATACTCCAGGGGGGGCTGTGACATCGGAAACTCCTGGGACCATTTGTGCAGAGTCACTTCCCTGCCCGTCCCCAGCACTTTCCCCACACATTCTCACAATCAGCTGGAATCTCCGGCTCAGGAGCTATTGTCGGCAGAGCCCGGGGCTGCCTCAGGGGGCTAGTTCCAGACAAAGTCCCCTCCTCGGCTGTTGACATAGGGAGCGCTGATGTCCCTGGCATAGCCACACTGCTGGGGAACCAGCAGCTGCTCACCAGGGCAGGGGTCCCAGGCCCAGATCACAGTGGAGGCAGCAGTGTTTGACCCCGAAAGATAAACAGAAAGAAACAGAGCTCGTGCTGCCAGGGGGGCTGGAACAATTTGTATAGTGGGGGGGGGGGGCTGAGACCCACTGAACGAAACTGAAACCCCTGTATATAATGGAAACCACTTCAAGCCAGGGGGTGCAGGAGCACCCCTACTTCCAGCACCTATGAGTGCAACCTCCCCCCTATGAGCAAGAACCCACCGTAGCCCTCTAAATCAGTGGTTCTCAAGCAGGGGTGTGTGTGCCCCAGGGGTACGCAGAAACAAACAAAAAACCAAGCAAACAAAGACTGTCTCCACCAGGATTTTAGGGGGAGATTTTCAAAGGCACAAATGGCACGTAGACAATGCCTTTTCAGATGCTGAAACTACTTGAAAATCAGAGAATGCAGGCCGTACTTCCGGAATGGGGGACTATATCCTGGAAAGTAGTGACTCAAAGGGATTTAGGGGTCACAGTGGACAAGCAACTCAACCTGAGCTCCCAGTGTGATGCTGTGGCAAAAAGGGCTTATGTGATCCTACAGGGGCGTAGGAGGTGATTTTACCCCTGTACGTGGCCTTGGTGAGACCACTATTGGAATCCTGTTTACAGGTCTGGGGTCCACATATTTAAAAAGGAGGCTGAAAAATTGGAGAAGGTGCAAAAAAAGAGCCACAGAAGTGATTCAAGGGCTGGAGAAAATGCCTTACTGTGAGAGCTGTAAAGAGCTGGTGCTGATTAGTTCACCAGGTGGAAGATCCAGAGATGTGTGCTGATTCAGTGCATGTAGGGAGAAAACATGGGGTACTAAAACGCTCTTTAATCGAGATGAATAAGGTATAACAAAAAACATACCTGGAAATTATAGCCAGACAAATACAGACGAGAAAAAAGAAAGCACAAATTTGTAAGAGGGAGTGTGATTAAGCATTGGAACAAACTACTGAGGATTCTGCATTTTTTTGGTATGTCTTCAAACTAAGACCGGAGGACTTTTTTGCAAGATATACTTCAGTCAAACCCAAGATATTGATCTCAATCTGGGGAGCAGTGAGTGAAATTCTCCAGCCTGAGCTGTAAAGCAGGTCACACTGGAGAAGTGTTATGATCCCTTCTGGCTTAAACTCTAAGGATTGATGAATGAATTAACCCCCTCCCTCCATGGGAATTAAACTCCTCCATGATCAACTTTCTCCCTGACATCTGAGATCCAAAGGGTTACCTCCATATTTAAGAAGACTCCCCCATTTAAAGAAACAGTGGCTCCCACGTGTTAATAGGAAAACCAGTCAGCTCTTAACCGACTGGTTTTTACTCCAGATAAAGCAGGATAAGGAGTTGGAGTTATTCCCCATTCTCTATGTGCGATCGGGTCTCTTTCCCTAAGCAGAATCCAGGGTGGCTAAAAAGCTCCGTCCTTTCTATTAATCCTACGGTGTTAACTCCTTGCCTTCCCACCCCTGCCTTCACGCCAAAGGACAACAAATGGGGTGAAACTGTGGCTATACGTTCTCTGCCAACAACAGGGCAGGGCAGGGGCACAGATGGGTAAGCGAAAGAAAAGATTGACTTGAGATTGTCCAATCCCATTTTCCCCCAGCCCAGCTGTTGCCCCCTCCCTGCTGCTACCCCCTCCAAAGTGCCACAGAAACTTCTGGCTCTAGCTCCCCACCCCTTCCCCTGCATGACCCTGGTCCCCTGGGACTGGCAGGGCCAGGGGATATACAGTTTTCTAGTTATTTATTGAGTCTTGATGTAAATTCCCCTCATCTTTTGCTGCTTTCTCTTATGATTATATATCGAATCAAAATCTCCACACATTCCGCTCTCCCTCTGTTTATAAAGGATGGATCTACAATCCCCTCACATGGTGCCCTTTTCCCTCTCCCATTATTCAATATTAATATCAAATCCCTTCAGATTTTGTCATTGTGACCTTTAATTCTCAAATATTGCTTTAGCACCTCCCACCCTCTGATTGGAGGGGCTCCCCACCACGGCACCAGTTGTCTCGGATGCCAGATGAGATGAGGCAGTGCAGAGCAAATGGGTAGGGTTGGGAAGAGAGCCCTGAAGTGTTCATGTGGCGGGAACACAGGAGCTGTTCTCTTCCAGCATGAGGGCACAGATGGACTGGAGGAGAGGAATGGCACAGCATGTGTCCCAGGTGGAAATTACACAGCCCAGTCCAGCCCTCTCCAACCACCCACCAGTGACCAACAAAATGTCCAGCCCATGCATTAGTCCTTTTCTATCTTCCTTTTCCCTTCCCCTTTCTCTGCCAAAGCTACATCACCGCTGGCTTCCTGCTGGTTGTGTGACAGGCAGGACAGGGTAAATCAGTACTCTCTGTTCACTGATTGAATATGGGTAAGGAATGCCCCCAGATTTTCCTGCTTTTCTATTACGTTATGAAATATTCAGTGTAGTCTCTGTTTGAGCCCCATTTATCAAAGATTGATGTAAGGTCCCCTAAAAATGTTGCCACGTTTTCTGCCGTATTGCCCCCTGATCATGGGAAGACAGGCTTAAAATTATTCACAGTGAGAAATCTCTTGCGCTCAAATGGGACTCTTCACCATGCATAAAATGAAGCATTAGCCTAAATCTTTGAAGGACTGGGATCTAATTATCTATAATTGATTTAATATCCCCTCAGATGTTTGCCCCTTTTCTCTCATTATCCAATGTTAATGTCTCTCCTCTGATTTTCCCAACTTCCTCTCTCATTACATGTCGATCTAAAAACACTCCTAGCTCTTTCATTATTGAACCCGGATCTTAAATCTCCTCAAACTTTGCCATTTTTACCGCTAATGATTGAATATCAGCATAAAAATTTCCTCCAATTCTAGATTCTTCTCCACACCCATTCTTTTTTAATTACAGAGATTTCTCTTATTCTGTAGGAAAATTATAGGAGTCAGTACACCAGACAGGAGATATTCTGGTGGGGGGAGGACAGGAACTGAAGGTTGTTTGGTCACATCCTTGGATTTTAATTTTTTTGGACAGGACCTAGAGCAGGTATCTTGAAAATGTCACAAGATGCATGATCACTTACCAGAATAATCCTTTCTTACTTTATCTTTGCCTTTCCCTCCCCCTTTGCCATCAGATTTTAGTGTTCGAGCAGTGGGAAAATTATGAATAACATTCTGCATGGCTGGACCCCAGTGTGAGAGTCACAGGGTGAGAGGCAGAGGCAGAAATGGGGAAGGAAGTTACTGCCTGACCCTTGCGATGATGGGAAATACAGTCAGGAGGGGGAGAAAGCATATAATGGGAGGTGAGAACTGTTAACTCACTGCCCTGAGGGCAGAGACAGGAAATCTCCTATGAACATTGGGTGAAGGACTACGAATGACACTCCAAGGGGAGTGATGGGCGGGAGGGGTAGGGGTCATCCCCTATTCATAAGAGGACAAGGCAGTGCAGAGTTGAGGAGGAATCTTTGGACATCAACAGGCTTGGCCAGCCCTGAAGTCCAGCCAACCCCATCACTGATTTGAGGATCACGATAACCCATCTGGTGACCCCCCCTCGCCATCTACGGCATCAGCTTGAGTGGGAATGAGGGAGACACTCCCTGTCCTCTGGCTACCGTTCAACCTGAGCGCCCGGATTTCCTGTGCTTGGAACGTTTGTTGGGGTGACGGGATCCCGGCATCTCCCATGGATTCTCTGCACTTTTCTACCAACTCTGAAACTTGGCACTGGTGCGGGAGGGACTAGGGGACGCAGTTTGCTGGGCTGGGCACAGGGTTGGGAGGGACGTTCTATCTGATTTCTTACTTTGAAATAATAAAGTAGAATTTAGTTTCTCAAACTCCCAGAGCCCCTTGTCTTGAATAACTGAATAAAAAAGGCCTTGAAAGCCACCTGGGAAATCTCATTGAGGGGGGATTTCCCCTGTCTTGAGGACTGCAGATTCCCCAGCTGCCAGCTCTGTGGGGTTGCAGATCTTTCTGTGAGTCTGTGTGGGGGAAAATCCTCGTCTACAGGGGTAATCTGCCCCGACTGTCATTTCATTACGTGACATTGCTCCAACCCCTCCACCTTTCCCTCCAGGGTGGGTTGGAGGCAGAACGTGGCAGGAGTGTGGAGATCCAAGATTCCTATTGAAAATCCGGGTTTAGTATATGGGGAAGGGCAGAGGTGCCGACTACCTGAGTTTCCGAGGGGGGGAGGGGGCTCGATTCCCGCTTCGCCCCAGGCCCTGCCCCCACTCCACCCCTTCCTCCAAGCCCCTCCCCTGCCTCTTCCTGCCCCCTCCACCCCAGCCCCTCCTGCATGCCCCTGAACAGCTGATCACCAGCAGGCCGGAAGCGCTTGGGGGCAGGGAGGGGAGCTGATTGGCAGGGCTGCTGTGGGGTGCTGAGCACCCACTTTTTTTCCCCCCCACATGCTCCAGGCCTGGAGCACCCACGGAGTCAGTGCCTATGGGGAAGGAGCTCTACACCTCCACCTGCAGCTTATGATGCTCTGAGAGGTGAGACATGGGCTGTGTTCCAGGGGAACTCCAGGGAACCTGTAACCTGAGCCCCTGAAGCCCTCGGGCTTTGGCTTCGGCCCTGGGCAGTGGGGCTCAGGCTTCCACCCCGGATCCCAGCAAGTCTCAGCCAGCCCTGGTGACCCCCTATCAAAGGGGGCCGCGACCCACTTTGGGGTCCTGACCCACCGTTCTGAGAACCGCTGCCTTAGTTAAAACAGCAGCAAAGACACTTAACTGGGGTGAACCGCTCAAATTCAACCCCTGGCTCCCCTACAGGCTTTCACGCCAGCTGCTGAGCAGAGTTAAAAGCTGAGTTGCCTTCTCTTCACTGCTATTTTAACCCAAACTAAGAACACCTTTTGGGGTTTTCTGCCAGGAAGGTAGCTTGCCAAAGGACCTCGCTTTCTCCTGAGGGCAAGGAAAGGCAGCAAGACAAAGCAGTTTTGTTGGGAGCACCCTCGCCTCCCCCACAAAAACTTGAGCAATATGTTACAGGCATGGCAACGCCCTGTCATTAACAAAGGGCTCAGTCCTTTTCTGGGAAGAAGGAAATGAAACAAATTCTCTCTGGCACTCGGAGTCATGGCTGCTGCCGATCCAGCAAAAGCTCTTGAGGATGAAGCTTCTTGTCCCATCTGCCTGGAGTATTTTAATGATCCGGTGACGCTAGACTGCGGGCACAATTTCTGCCAAGCCTGCATCACCCAGTGCTGGGGGAGATCAGATACAGACTACTTCTGCCCCTGCTGCATGGAGATCTTTCCCCAGGGGAACTTCCGAGCCAACAGGCAGCTGGGGACCCTCATAGACCTAATCATCCGACAGCTGAAGGATGAGCAACAACAGGCCAAGCTGGGAGGAGAGAGGGTGTGCTGGAAACACCAGGAGGCTCTGAGACTGTTCTGCGAGGAGGATCAAACCCCCATCTGTGTGGTGTGCGACAGATCCCGGGAACACAGAGCTCACGCTATAGTTCCCATTCAAGAGGCTGCCCAGGAGTACAAGGTGAGATGAAATCTGTCTAGTGTGGATCACTCGATGATGACCTGTTCTGTTCATTCCTTCTGGGGCACCTGGCATTGGCCACTGTCAGAAGACAGGACACTGGGCTAGATGGACCTTTGGTCTGACCCAGTTTGGCCATTCTTTTGTGACCGATTATAGCTGTATGTGGTGGTGGTGTAGCCGTGTTGGTCCTAGGATAATAGAGAGCCGAAGGCGTGAGGTGATCTCTTTCATTGGACCAACTCTTGCTGGCGAGAGACAAGCTTCCAAGAGTACGCAGACCTCTTCTTCAGAAGCTTGAAAGCTTGTCTCTCTTGCCAACAGTGGTTCTCAACCAGGGGTACGCAGAGGTCTTCCAGGGGGAACAGCAACTCATCTAGATATTTGCCTAGTTTTACAACAGGCTTCAGAAAAAGCACTAGCGAAGTCAGGACAAACTAAAATTTCAGACAGACAATGACTTGTTTATAGTGCTCTGTAGACAATACACTGAAATGTAAGGACAATATTTATATTCCAATGGATTATAGGGGAACAAGGAGAAAGTCAGCCCTTTTTCAGGACTAGTGGCTCTGACACTTTTGTATTTTCATGTCTGATTTTGTGAGCAGGTTGTTTTTAAGTGAGGTGAAACTTGGGGGTCCACCAGACAAATCAGCCTCCTGAAAGGGGTACGGTAGTCTGGACAGGTTGAGACAGGTTTTGTTGTTGTTGTCTACAACAAAAGATATTACCTCACCCACCTTGTCTCTCAGATTATAGCTGGGAAGTTAACAGATGTCTGCTGTAAGGAGGAATGGGGTGTGTGTGTGTCACTTTGGTTCCCTGTGTTGTGGAATTCAGAACTAGGATGGAGTGACGGGATGGTCAGAACCCAAGTGTTTGTTACTGGAAATGAGAACATCCCCAAAGGGCAACTGAAGTTTCATCCCACAAACCAGACCACAGAGCTACTGGTCTGGGTCACGTTTTCCAGTTGTTCTCACTAAGTGTCTTTAAACAGGGAGGAGGGGAGGAGCCCCACAAACTTCTGATCTCCAATTCTTTCAGGAGCAAATCTGGAGGCGGCTGGATGTTTTGGAGAAGGGGAAAGAAGAGATTCTAGCTCTCATAGCGTGTGAGGAAGAGCAAAGCCAGGAACTGCTGGTAACTGCCACTGGTATCCTGTAGCCAGGAAATTCACACAGGGAAGTTCCCATGTGAGAAGATGAAGGATGATTCAGTGGTTAGGATGCTAAGCCTGGAATACAGTAGAGCTGGGTTCATTGACCTGCTCTGCCCCAACTCCCTGGGTGGTTTTGGACAAGTTATTGAGTAGCTCTGTACCTCAGTTTACAAATCTATAGCCTGGGGAGAATAGAACTTCCCTGTTCTGGGAGGGGAGTGGCATCTAGTGGGTAAAGCAGGGGAGGTCTGGGAGTTAGGACTCCTGGGTTCATTTTTAGCTGCAGAGGGGAACAGTGTTTTGTGGCTAGAAAGCACGCGAGCTGGGAGTCAGGACTCCTGGGTTCCATCCTTACAGGAGTACTGTGAACATAAATACAACAAAGACTGTGTGTTCTTCAAATACTACAGTGATGGCAACCGTATAAGTAAATTGTGACATTGAAGCACTAAGGATGGGTTGCCTATAGATATTAAATATTTCCTCTTTGTAAAGCAAAGATCATCTTTTGCTTTAAAGGAACTGAGACTGATCCAGGAAATGGAGAACGAGGGGAAAGGGTTTTCTTGAAATATCTGAATCATATTCATTAAACAGTGACTGGTTATCTCAGTTTTCAGAGGCCCAGTTTGAGACAAAGAGGAACATAAATTCCATTTTTCTTCCTTGCAAGTTACTTTTACAATTACCCTGAAGAACACTTCAGACATTGGACAGTTTGCATGACTCTCTCTCTCTATGTTCCCGGTCTTTCCCTGTCCATCACAGAGACAAATAGAAATTGACAGGGAGACGATGGAGTATCGGTTTGAGAAACTGCAGACATTCCTGCAAGAACAAGAGCGCCTCTTGCTGGTCTGGCTGGACGAACTGGAGAAAGAGGTCACCGCCAGAAAGGATGAAAACATCCGCCGACTCACTGAGGAGGTTTCCCGTCTCAACACCCTGATCGGGCAGATGGAGGAGAAGTGCGAGCAGCCCGCGAGTGAATTCATGCAGGTGAGACTGTGCGAGAGACACCCCAGGCTCCGGTGCAAGGAATGGAGGGCTCCCGAAGCCACCGTGGCAGGGCCCCGGGCATCACTGATCCCAAAAGCACTCTGCATCTGCACAGCCCAAAAGGGAAATGATTTGGTTCTTTGAGGGCAGAAAAATCTTCCTTTGTCCTGAAATGGAGGGGAAAAAAATTCCCCCCAAGGCCAAACCCCAAACTCTGGTCTCCACCAGAGAGCCCCTGATGGGAACTGAGAGATGAAGTCCTGCAGGGAGCTGCCTTCAGGGAGTATGGATCCAGAATGCAGAGACTGGGCATCAGACTGATTGTGATGCAAAGCGAGTCCCCTCCAGAGCGGGGTCGTGGGTACCCAGCATATGGCACTGAGCTCCTGTTTCTCTCTCTCTCCCCTCTAGGATGTCAGAAGCACTTTGAGCAGGTAGGCCGCTCCTTCTCACTCTCCCTCATGCTTCCCGATGCTGGGAAGGGGCTCAGGCACCAGGAGAGGGAAATGTGTCCTCAGGGCCCAGCAGAGAGAGCGTGGGACGGTCTCCCCGTGCAGCTACTAACCTTCCCTCCATCCCCAACGTCCTGGGGCTGCTGCCATTTCCCCAGAGTCCAGACCGGCCCAGACCTTAGTGTCAGGTGACTCTGAGAACTCAGCTCCAGTCCCATCCGTTCTCCCTGGTGCCTACACTGGGCCATCAGCTGGGAACACCGTGTGTGTGTGTCTGTCTGTCTCTCTAGATGTGAGATGGGGACGTTCCAGGCTCCAGCACCTGCTTCTCCTGAACTGAAATGGAGACTCTGGTTGTTTTCTCAAAATTTCGCTTTCCTCCAGGATGCGCTGAGGAAGCTGAAAGGTAACAGAGAGATCGAAAAGTTCAGGAGGTGTGAGAGCGTTTACACAGGGGCTGATCTAATTCGGATTTCACTGACAGCTGGTTTCACAGCATCCTAATTCTAGTGACTCCGGTGGGGTTAGTCTTGATTAACACCCGTGGGGGAAATCAGCCCCAGGGTCACTTTCTTGTTGGGTGAGAATGAAAGAGCTAAACCACCCTAAATGTGTGTAGCCTTTTATTTTACTTACAGTGAATTTAGTAACGTGGGATTACACCGCCGTAGGTTAGGCTCTGGTGGCTACAGTGTTAAGCTTAACAGAGTGAAAGTCACCTCTGCTACTTGCTTCAGATTTAGAGTCTCTAGGAACACGTAATGACCCAGGGCAGTGACCACACAGACATTCACAAGTACAAGGTCTAGTCTGTTTTACAAGTTTTATTAAAGTTACCATTAAAGTTATGAGTACCCAGGCATATAGAAATTCCATACAGACCTATGCACAAGTTACAAACATAGTTATACTCACATCCTCCTCGATAGTGTTAGGGTCTGATGGGTCTCTCATGGACTGATCGTCAGTGGAGCGATGGCTCCTGCTGGAGTTTCCCAGAGGGAGCTCAATTTTCCTAATGTAGGCAACCCCCTTTTTATAATGTGATTCTTTCTTTACCTCATTAGCATTTCTGCACATCATGCACTCTGCGGTTAGAAAAATGTGACCACCAAGTATCTTGTAAGCAAAAAATTACTTTTACTGTTAATTTTTTGCAATATCACTCATCTTTTCCCGTAACCTTAGGGAATCGGGTTATTCTTTGGTCACTTACTTATATCAGCATTCCTTAACTCTATGGCCTAGTATGGTTAAGCTAAAGTCTGAGAGGCCTGAGCTGGTAGGCCTTGTGTTTCAGCCCTACTTACTTAGATAAAACATAATTATCCCTTCTAACTACTAATCAATCTATCTTATACATCTATAATCCTACAATTTAACTCTAATATACAATGATTATATATAACATGTTAGTTATACCATCACACAATAAATGAACAATAAACTAAAATCACTGGCTACATGCTGTTTCTTAACTAGCCATATAAAATTCTAAGTCACTAGAAAGATCTGACTGTGGGTTTTCTGACCAGCCCCTCATTCCCCTCTTGTGACTAAGTTCATGATAGTCATTGACAAAATCTGATTTCCTCTCCGTGCTCTTCTTCCTTTAGTGAATCTGTTGCCTGAACCGAAACCGGAAAGAGGTAAATTTCTAAGGGGTCGTTGGGAGACTGGCATTATTGATGGGACTGTTTTCCTGATGTGAGGAGAACACGTTTGGTTTGGGACAACAGAAGCAGCAGGAATCAAATTAATTGCTGGAGTCAGGGCTACAAAAAGGACCTCACACTGCCAGAGCCTCTAGGAAGTTCTGTCATTGGAGATTTTTAAGAGCAGGTTGGATAGACACCTGTCAGGGATGGTCTACATAATGCTTGGTCCTGCCTTGAGTGCAGGGGACTGGAGTAGAAGACCTGTTGAGGTCCTTTCCAGTCCTACTATTCTGTGATTCTATGCAATGCCCACTGCAGGGAGTTATTACTAGGTACTATGGTATTGTCAATGCCTGTGATTTTAATCTCAAGTCTCATGATGTCAGTGTTTGGGTTTTTTTTGTTTTGTTTTGTTTTAAAGACCCAGCTCTTGGACTCAAGTGATTATGGGAAAATCTCACTTTCATTTACTATTTTTAAAAAAACATCTAGCCCTTGTGGCTGCAGAGAACACCCTCCTCCCCAAAAACATGACCACTGGGCATCTTAAAGGCTCAGAAAGAAGGAGAAAGATAGCAAAAACCCAATGATTATTTTAAAAGAAAATCCATTTGATTGGGGTTGGGCTGATTCATAATGTCTACATGCTTGGGTTTGGTGATGCTTCCAGACAGACAGGGCCCACCTTACGACTGACTCAGTCACTGTTTAACAATCAGATCGGACGGGTGACTAAATTTTATCTGTGATTTGAAGGACAGAAGTTGATCAGAGCAGAAAAATGCATGAGGGGGGGAATTAAAAATAGGCTTGGAGAGGGGCTGTAACAAATTACTGCAAGTAGCCACAAGATGGCAGCAGAACCTAAGGGATGAGCCACAGGCCCTTGCTGTGCTGTATGTTAAAGCAAACCTTGCCCCAGGGCTGAGCTCTGCCTCTAACACGGATTTTTTTCATCCTCTCTCTCTGTGCAGCTGAAGTGACACTGGATCCAGACACGGCAAATCCCTGGCTCGCCATGTCCGCAGATGGCAAAAGCGTGCACTGGGGAGTCGCCCGGCAGGATCTGCCCGACCATCCTGAGAGATTTGATCCTGCTCCCTGCGTGCTGGCCTCTAAGGGCTTTGACTCTGGGAGGCATTTCTGGGAGGTGGAAGTTGGAGAAGGGGCAGTCTGGGTTGTGGGAGTAGCCCTGGAGTCTGTTAAGAGGAAAGGAGTGAGCAGGTTTACACCGGAGCAGAGGATCTGGGCTGTGCGGAAATACTGGGAACGGCATTGGGCACTCACCTACCCTGAAACTCCTTTGTATCTACATGGGGTCCCTAGGAGGATCCGGATTTATGTGGACTATGAAGGGGGGTTGGTGGCGTTTTATGATGCTGGCAACGAGGCCCCGATCTTCACTTTCCAACCAGCCCCTTTTGTTGGGGAGAAAATCTGCCCTTTCTTTGAGCTGCTGAGTACAGGCTCCCAGATCAAACTGTGCCCCTGAGTCACAGGATAAACCATCCTTGATTGGCCTTGGTCCTACATATGTTAGTAATAGTGCTTTTCCATAGAAGCATCAAGGAGTCAGGTGGCACCTTAAAGACTAACAGATTTATTTGGACATAAGCTTTCGTGGGCTAGAACCCACTTCATCAGATACATGGAGTGAAAATTACAGATGCAGGCATTATTATACTGACACGTGAAGAGAAGGGAGTTACCTCACAAGTGGAGAACCAGTGTTGACAGGGCCAATTCGATCAGGGTTCAATTCAATTCCATAGAAGCAGTCATTGTGGTTGCCTCAGGGATGGTTTTGTTGCCAGCGGGGGAGAAGATGGTCCTCAGAATGATAAATGAGAAGCTGGTGAAGTAAACAATCAGTTAGGATGTGCTCGGCACTATGAGAGAAGTTTGGAGGAGCCCTGGCATGCAGATCACAGGGGGAGATTTAAAGATGAATATCTACATGTTCACAGTATGTTAGCACCTAGAGGTCCCAACTAAAATCAGGGCCCCATTGTGTCGGGCGCTCCACAGACACACAGTGAGAGACAGCCCCTGCCCCAGCTGAGATCAGGGATCCATTGTACAGAGTATGAAACAGTCTATGCCAGTGGTTTTCAAACTTTTGTACTGGTGACCCGTTTCACACAGCAAGCCTCTGAGTCCGACCCTCCCCCTTATAAATTAAAAACACTTTTTAATATATTTAACACCATTATAAATGCCTGAGGCAAAGCAGGGTTTGGGGTGGAGGCTGACAGCTTGTGACCCCCTCCATGTAATAACTTCACGACCCCCTGAGGGGTGCCAACCCCCAGCTTGAGAACCCCTGGTCTATGCCCTGAAGAGTCTGCAATCAACAACATAAAGAGTGGGGGAAAGGCCATTTGTTAGATGGGGCACCATCTTCTACCTTAGATACTTATCTGGACCCCCCATTATCTCATTGCAATGGAGCTACACTGATTTACACCAGTTGGGGACCTGCCCTTTAACTTCTATCTGTGGTACTTATGGGGACCCCCTTACAATACTACCTGAGCACGTCACAACATTTAATGCACTTATCCTCAGAGAACCCGTCCTTTAGAGAAGTGAAAATATCCCCATTTTACTGAGGTGGAACTGAGGCAGAGCTATATTTCACTACGCAGGGACATTGACTGGCAGGACTACACCAGCGTGGATGCTTTATTCCTGAATAAAAGTGATTTTATTTTGCTTCCCCAAACAATTACACCTCTGTGGTCCTGTCAGTCCATTTCACCACCCTGACAAGCCTGGAGTCGCTTGCCCAAGGTCAGACACATAGTCTATGAGAGAGCAGAGAACTGATCCCAGGTCTCCCTAGACTAATGCCCTGACCATCAGTGCATCCCATCTCTCCGAGCAATTAAGTGACTTTTCATACATAGAGGGAAACCTGGAGCAGGGCTAAGCCCTGAACCCAGATGCACTGCCTTGACTACAGAACCATCCTCTCTCTTGCTATATTTTTTCCCCTTCCTATAACTAAGCTTCCCTTTTGCATTCTACTCTTAAATTTACATCTTGCTAAATGGAAGCAGAGGGAGGCATTTCTCTACGAATTTATTACCTAATAAACATTGCATTGGCATAGAATTTTTGAATGTTTGGTGGCTATTTATTTGGGAGGAGAGGAAGAGCAAAGCATCATTTGGTCTTATATAAATAAAGGTTCAGACGGGAGAACACAGTACAGGAGTAACTGCACCAGTCCAGGTGGGAGGGCGTACTGCACTCTGTAGCAAAGCGGCTCAGACCCATAACCCTCCAGCAACCCCTGCTTCCTAAGACCCTCACCTTTGCTGATAAGGATTCACAGATGGTGCTTTAGGGACCTCATCCCCCCTCCCCCGCTAGCCTGATCTAAGATCTCATTCAGCTCCATCTTCTGCTCACATAAGCACAAAGCACAGAAACCCCCCGTTAGAGGAGCATGGGTAGAACTTCAGCATTGCCCCTGCTTTCCCCTTTCTAGACATAAGGCACACCTACTGAGAGCAGCAATCCTTCATCCTCACATAATCACAGATGGGCAGAGCCGAGCCCTTTTATACTCCTCTGGGCTGAAACCCGCCCCTTCTATTGTGATAAGTGAAATAATAGAATTAATAGGATGCACAAGAATCCCTTTTGTCCTGTGGAAATAGGGGATTTTGATTCCCATCTTTGGACCAGAAAGGCTGGGTGTATTTCTTGGGTTTCTGTCAAAGTGAGTTGAATTGACACAAAATTAAATGGATTTCTTTGCTCTGCACGCTGATCCTATTTCAAGGACTTCTCAAAAGCAAGCACCAGAAGGCTTTTCTTTTTAATTCAATGTTAAAACAAATTGTCCTCATCTGCGGGGAAGAGACGTGCCTGCTGAGTTTATCATTTATAGAGTCAGCCACGAGCCTGAGAGAGTAGTGTGTCCTACAGTGAGTACGCTCACATCACCATCTACTATTCTTAAACAGGACATTAGCAGACTGCTCAATACAAAAAATAGCAAAGTTAACTGCTTGTAAAAAGCCAAATGAAGAAAATTTCAGTCCCTCATTTCTTCAGCTTCTTCCATCCTCACCTCTGTTGGGGACACTGGGGCATAGCCACTAGGTAACTCGAGGGGATGGAAGACCACAGGCGTCAATGAAGCCCCCTCGCACTAGGCCCAAGTGTCCTTGCCCCCCCCCTTGCCTGGAGGCACTCGCAGCAGTTATGCTGAGGATCTGCAACAATATGTTGCAAAAAGAAAAGGAGTACTTGTGGCACCTTAGAGACTAACCAATTTATTTGAGCATAAGCTCAAATAAATTGGTTAGTCTCTAAGGTGCCACAAGTACTCCTTTTCTTTTTGCGAATACAGACTAACACAGCTGTTACTCTGAAACAATATGTTGCAGAGTCAGACTGCCTGAAACTAAGCAAGGGCAAACAGAGCAGACATGGAAGAACAATGCTGAATAAAGCAGCTTTATGGACAGTTTAAAAAATGATACCGAGAACAAGGGAACTAGCTGGGCTGGCTATATGGATACTTAGGGCAGCTTGCTATTGGATAAGTATGCTGAAAAAGGATGTATAAAAGCCTGTGTAACTTCCTGCTCTGTGTACAGGATTTGAGATTCTATTCTCCCTGTATCTTTTTGCAGCTGCAAATAAACTTTTCTGCTTCTCCACCCCATTGTGATTATTGGGTGTAGCACACCAGGTAGCGAACCAACCCCAGCTGTTGTGTAGCCTCTCGGCACTGGGTGCCGGCAACACCTCCAAGGGGATAAACAAACAAACTTACATAGCCCCCCCAAAAAACCTTTACAAGAAAATACAAAATTTAAGGGAATAGTATTTGTTTTATGAAATTTTCATTCAAATTGTTCCTACTTTTAAAGCCACTAATTATCATCATATCTTTCTGTACAAGTTTGCAGAGCAATTTTTCAGAGGAAAGACAGGTAGCTCTTAAAGTGGCCTTTAAGTCTGATTACTTAAAAAAGTAATTAATCTCTAATCTACAGAAACAAGAAACTTTACTTAAATCTGGTATATTTAGTAACAACCTTGGTACCTTCAGACACAGCATGTTTTGCCTGGTCTCCAGGCAGTGATAAGGTCAGAACTATCTGAATCTCCCTGGAGCAAATAGTTAAAAAGCTTGTTGCACAGAGCCCAACACAACACTGCTACAACTATGCATTCGAATAGGTTAATCACAGAAAAATTCCTGAAGTCCACAGTTCTAAAAGAAATACTAGCATTAGGGCAATCCTACTTCAAGACCTCATACACGTAAATAAGCTTAAGATTCTTTCCTACTCCTCCTTTGCTTTTTATCATCTTTTTTCCTCTAATCAGCAACAAACCCCCTCAAACTCTCCTTAGAAACCACACATACCCCCACAACCCCTTTTTTAACTAAACATGAAAGGACTCACATGTCCTCCTTATAATGCCTATAGTCGGACCTGAGTGAGGACCTAGATAGCCTGCTCCTCCCCCTCCCCTCGGCTAGCACTGACCCCAACCTTGTTCAAGTCAACACAGAACAACCCCCCCCTTTGCTACGGCGATATGCAAATTAAGGATTCCAACATTCCACTTTTCATTGGCTCCCTTGGGAAACCAATCAAATAGCGGGAATGTTTGAAAGAAAACAGAAAACATGGAGAAGTGACTTTGCGCCCACTATTAATTAGAAGCTATTGCTTAGAGTGAACTCCCAGGTGTAAGGCTGGTGTATTCCTACAGCGCCTAGCACAGTGGGGCTTCATTCCTGAGTGGGGTTTGTTTGATACCGCAATACAACTCGATATTTGTTAAAATAATCCTTCAATTTAATCCTTTATCCATTCATAAGGTGTCTATACTATAGACCAGTGGCTCTCAACCTTTCCAGTCTATTGCCCCCCTTTCAGGAGTCTGGTTTATCTTGCCTACCCCCAAGTTTTCACTTCACTTCAAAACTACTGGCTTACAAAATCAGACATGAAAATACAAAAGTGTCACAGCCACTAGTCCTGAAAAAGTGTTGACTTTCTCGTTTGTACCAATTATAAAATAAATCAGTCGGAATATAAATATTATACTTACATTTCAGTGTTTAGTCTATAAAGCAGGCTAAACAAGTCCTTGACTGTCTGAAATTTTAGTTTGTCCTGACTTCGCTAGCGCTTTTTATGTAGCTGTTATAAAACTAGGCAAATACCTAGATGAGTTGCTGTACCCCCTGGAAGATCTGCATACCCCTGGTTGAGAACCACTGCTGTAGACCACTATGGGGGAGAAGGGGCATGGTGGTTGTGGACTATTTCACACAATGTCCCTTCTCCATTCCTGTTCAAATCAGAGTCCCTGTCATAATAAAGCAGGGTGGGGAAGAGAAGTGCGTGGCCCAGAAAAGGCCCTTTGAAGAAGGCCACATCGCTCAAGAAGCGGGAGCAGAAGCTTAAGAGGAAGAACAAAGCAACGAAGAAAAAAAGCCAGGAAGAAACTAAAGGACCTTGTAAAACCAGGAGCCACTTCTGTATTTCTTATGCAGTGGGAAGCATCTAGGGAAAGTCCTCAGAGTCATACTATTGATTCACCGTAAAGAAAGAATCGGAAGGCTCTTTTAAGAGCGAATCCACAACGTTCTCAAGATGAGCTTTAGCAGAGATGTCCCCGGTTTTGTTTGATTTCATTGCACGTGTATCGAGCCCAAATCCCGTGTGTGAGATCTGAGCCCTGCGGTGAATGGGAAGAAGGAAGGCACGTAGGGGCTGTGGGAAATCGTTGTTTACCAGGACTAAAAACCTGTTTTGACACCAGCATTAGGGTAATCTTGGAAGTCCTCGGGCTTTGTCACGCCGTCGGCTTTCCCAAACGGCGTATCATAAACTATGCAACGCTAAATAAGTTTTCTTGATCACCAGGGGTTGTCACTTAAACTCTTCCTTATGACACACTGTACACAGCAGTTCGCATACAGAATTTGCTCTTTTGATGAACCCTGGGGGATGGTTCTGAAAAGAACCGTTTTGATTTCCTTCCCCCCAACCCCCCGGGCCGGAGCCCTCACTCCATAAGGAAAGTGCCCTTAATAATCTCCTCTAAAATTTGCTTCCTGCGGGTTGCCACCGTCCCCCTGATTTTGCCCGGGCTCCTGCTGACCCTCTTGGGTCGTGCAGCAGCCGGTTTCGTTTCCCCGCTGGGGTCATTTGGCCCTGGGGCAGCTGTTCCTGTCTTCGCCGAGCTCTGGCGCCTCTTGGCCGCGGCTGTTTCCCTCTTTTCCGCTTTCGGGGAGCCGCCTCCCCGCTGGAGCCTGAAAGAGCCCGAGGCGCCGCTGCCGCTGACCCGACGCAGAGCCCCTCGGCTCAGGAGATAACGGAGCACAGTCTTGATGCGGCCCTTGTTCTTCCGCACGTCGTATCCCTCGCCCTCCAGCGTCTTCTTGATGGCAGCCAGAGAGGCGCCTCTGCCGGCGGCGGGGACATCAGCCGCCCGGAGAATGACCTGGCTGAGAGTCGGTTTCTTCCTTCCCTTGCGCGGGGGATTCTCCCCAGCGGGGTGGGAGGCTGCAAAAGCCGCGGGGAGAGGACGCGAACCGGGCATGTCCCTGCGAGTCAATCCCAGCTGCTGCCACCCAGACCCGCACGTGGGGCCGCCGCCCTGACACTGAGCCCAGCCGCCGCCGCTGAGGCCAGATAGCGAGCAGAGCCCGACGCAGCCGAATCAATCCCCTGCTTTATTCCTGCCCCTGCGCCCTCTCCCCAGCCGGTGTTTCTTCTGCCCCACTCAAGTTGCCCGCAAAAAAGCGCCAGCCCCGATTTGCACAATCCTTTCCCCTCCCCGCTCCAGGACACTGAGCTAGTTCCCCCGCTGGCGTTGTCCGAAATATTCATGAGTTGCTGTCTGGGATAAGTCACAAAACTGAGCTGTGGCCGCCCATTTGGCTCCTCTACTCAGGAGAGAATTCGTGCTTATCTAATTTTAATCCACATTCCCGCAGCTGCCACCTCTGGAGTTCACTGGGACAGGCTGGGGGCGTGCGGGAGAATAAAAGAGCAAAGCAATTAGCCTGTTTCTCGGGCTTTGTTGTTGTCTAACTCGTTGTTAAAGAAAT